AGCGGGTAGCTCCCCATGTTTGATTTGGCACAGCTTTTGCGCCCGATGCCCCCTCTGACCCAAAGCCATAAGGATTTGTGGTCCCTCCTGGGATTCTTTCGTTTGAAAGGTGAATGTGCAAACCACTACAGTTATACTTAAAAATAAATAAATAAATAAAACAATAATACGCATTATTTCTAAAATACGACAGCTTAAGACATGGTGATAAACTTCTAGAAGTAGTTGAGTACTTTTATTTTGAAAATGTGAGAGTTTAAAAAACCTGTCCAGGTCATACATCCGGTATACATAGACGTACAGATATTATTATTATTATTATTATTATTATTATTATTATTATTATTATTATTATTATTACATAATAATAATAAAACAAGAAATAAAATGTGACAATAAAGACAATATTACAGAGAAAACCCCAACAAACTAATGATGTAATAATAATCCATTATGAGGACTTGGAGACAGTGGGAACGAAGAACCAACTTTAAACAGAAAGTGATTGTAAATTGATTTATATAGCATGAGACCTCGAAATCTTTTTGAAGGTCATTCTGCTAACCTAAATATCACTAAAGCTAATGGCTTTATTTAGGTCTGAGATTTAAAGTGAGCGTTCAAACTGTATAACGCAAATTAAACATAAGCAACAATCAAATTGAACTTGTTTGTAAAGCATATGTAAAGGTGTGTCCCTTACACCAATGACCTAATTAAAACAAAGGTAAAATAATAAACTTGAGAAAACAATAAACAAAAGCAACAGAAATATAAATGTAAATTTAAGATTTAAAGCACGTTGAGTTACTTATTATTGCCTCTAAAACACTGCTATAGATAACGTTTAATGTTAGCATCACCTACTGCACACTGGAAGCCATTGTGTTGGTGATATGATGTCATATGTGATTATCAGGGCAAAGTGTCATACTCTGTCTATCTATCCATGGAAGAACAGTTTCAAAAGTTATTCTGAAGGAGTGTATGAATCATTTGACAGTTTTTGGCATTTTAGAATGATGCGTTTTTCATACTTATCAGAGAAACTGCCTAAAAAAGGTCGACTGTTGTTTATAATAAATACAAAAAAATTATCCCATCAAAATGTCATCAAAACAAAAGCACAACAAATCATTACCATTAGCTAAACCATGTTTGGTCAGCTTTTTCCGGTGCTTCGGCCAGGCTGGAGCTGAACAGGGCGATTCTTGTTATAGTTAAATTGCAAAATGGGACCAAACCCTACTGACTCATCATCCACCAATCGTTTACAGTATGCAAATTATCATCACCCTGGCAACAAGTAGAAATAGGAAGTTGTGATGATGTCACTCTGTGTTTTGAGCTTCTCTTCCCCCATGTGAACGTGAGTCACAGAGTTTTGTTTTTCAGCGAAGATAAGGGATGTTTTACAGCAGATGTACATGCCCGTGAACAGTGCACGGGCAGACTAAAAAGTGTATGACGGCAGCCAGGAAGTCTCTGGCTGGTGCCCTGAAGCAGACAATGCCAGTGAGATTACAGCTACCTCCATAACTCAGGGGCTCTACCAGCCATTACCATCTGGCACCTTCACCCCGGCTTGGCTTTTAACAGCCAGTCTGGGAGCTTTAGAAAGCTGCCTACTCAGAGCCTGATGTCACCCAGTCTGAAAAAATATGGCGTTTCAGGTTAAAGGTAAAAGAAACTTTCTGACCTCCATCTCTATGTAGCTTAATCCTCACTTTGGCTACATTACACATCTGGCTCAGCTGGCAAAGTCTATGCATGTCATGCATGGTTGATTTCTGACTATTCCTATTAGGTGCACTTAAAAAATAGCTAACTGGTAACAGATACTTTAAAAAGTATGCAACTTGCAGAGATCTGATTATGTAATGTAGTGAGTTAAATTTACATGCAACCCATCCCTCAGATGCAGACCCACATAGTAACAGAGCCCCAGTGTGTGTGCGTGTTTGTGTCTGTGTTTGTTCTGTGTGTATTTGCAAACTGTGTTGGCCATTGGTCCGTGCACTTGTTGGACTATTCATTTCCAGCAAAAAAGAAAAAAGAAGAAAAGGAAAGGAGAAAAAAAGGGTGTCTGATAATTCCAAATCCCAAACTGTAACCTAAGATTGTGCGCCACCCACAGGCCTCAAAACAGGTGATGTCATGCACCACAAACTCTCGACGTGTATCTCCCTTTCTCCCTTCGCCTTTTTACAACACATGCTACCACTTCTCATTTACGTAATGGTGCTGGGAACTGCGTCACTCTCACAGTTCTGATACACCACGTGTGCGTAATGAGTGTGTTTATCCCGAGTGTGTTTTTGTATGCTTGTGTGTAAGAGAGAACATCTGTGTTGGGCTGATGAAGTCACTGAATTCATGTACTGTACATGTGTGTGTATGCGTGTGCACTGGTGACGCCACCGTGTTTTGGCATGTTTGCTTTCAAAGGCTGTTGCAGTGTATTTTATATTTTGTGTTTTAGTTACTGTGTCTCGTTTTGGTTGAGTAGACAGAGAGCAGTCAGAAAAAAAAAACGTATCTCCGGGTCTTAAGGTTGTTTGCTGAAGTCACTGGCCAGGTTTATGACAGTCCATTTTAACGCTCGATTAACAGGTCCAACACAGGCCAGCCGGCTCTGGTTAGCCAGCCCCAGTGATTTAAGGACATTCTCCTCTCTCTGGGAACTGCACACAAAGCTACGCGGTACTCTTCTCATCACTGAGCCCATTATAGGGTAACATTAATCACTTAACTTTATGGATGTCATAGATTCTGTTGTCAAAGGCTTATCCATGTCATTATACATACACACATCCTGGTCTTTTGAAGCCCCTTCAGACAAAAGCATTGACATGGTTTAGAAACATGTAAGCTGCTGGCTCTAGCTCACGACACGGCAATAAGTGAATCAGTTCCATTAAAGCTAAATCACAAGGCAAGGGAAGTATTTTTATGGCACATTTCATACACATTTTAAAGGGATTACGTAAAGCATAAAATATATTAAAAAAGAAATACAGCAGCCATTTACGCTAAGCACACTGCTAAAGTAAATACTTGGAGACAGGTATTTACCGTTATGAATATATAAAGAAGAAGTCAGCATCTATTCTCTTCATGACTTATTCAGGCTCCTTCAGATTCCAGATTGTATTCACCGGAAGCAAATATGAAATCTGTTATGTTTTATTGAATCCTGCAAGGTAATAGGTAATAATGTATCAAGACAAAAGCTGAAAAGAAAACTGATCAGTGCCTGTGTTTTTTCAGGTGTAACAGACATAGTCTTTATCAGTTAAAAAGACAGTGTATACATGTACAGTACTGTATATAACCCACTATAAGTACTTAGTTTGACCAGAACCCATTAAACTAAATACGTGTAAACAAAGATGTTTGTAAGGGATAATGTGGGCCCATTATACTGGGGGTTAGTTTGAAATTTTGATATCTAACTTACAAAATAAGCACACACAAGTTGATGTTTAAAAGTTTGGCACTGATCATGTGAAGGACATGCTGTATTTATTACCGGTAATGCAATTTGACCAACTTCTTAGAAGCAGAAATAGAAGCTAAAGTTTGTTTTTATGATCTTAATTCACTGCGTTAGTAGACTTGTGCATTCTCTTTTATGCTAAAAAATCTGTTAAAACCATAACTGTGATTTCAGATGTTGATCTTTTTTTTCTTTGTGTTTCAGCAGGGAGGCACAGGTTAGCACCTAAGAATTGGGACAGAGACAACAAAAGGCTGGAAGGAACAATTTGCAAATAATTAGGTTAATTGGCAACAGGTCAGTAACATAATTGGGTATAAAAAGAACATTTCAGAAGACTTTAAGTGTCACGTCATCTGCAGTGCAAAATACCATCATAAGATTCAGAGAATTTGGAGAAATCTCTGTGTGTGAGAAAGAAGGCTGAAAATACTGGACACCCATGATTTTCAGGGCCTTAGACAAGTCACTGCAATGGTTTCAGGAACACTTCCTGAAATTACTGTCTGTAGACAAAATTTAAGCCCTATCAGGTAAAGAAAAAGCAATTTGTGAATATGATCCAGAAAAACCATCATCTTCTCTTGACCATAGATCATTTAAAATGGACTGAGGCAAAGCGGGAAACTGCTCTGTGGTCAGACGAATCAAAACTTTTAATTCTGTTTTGAAAACATGGACATCTCTCTAGTCTTCTGGTCTAAAGAGGAGAGGGACCACCTGTATTGTTATCAGCGTTCAGTTCAAAAGCCTGCATCTCTGAACATATGGGGGTGTATTAGTGCCCATGGATTGGCAGCTAGCACATCTTGAAAGGCACAATTAGTGCTGAGCAGTATATATAGGTTTTAGTGGGACATATGCTTCTATCCAGATTATGTATTTTTCAGAGAAGGCCTTGCATATTTTAGCAAGACAATGTTGAACCACATACTGCATCTAATATAACCGCATGGCTTCATGGTAGAACTGAAAACATCTGGCACATCATGACACAATATATACAACAACAAAAAAACAGGATTGTTGAGCAGATAAAATCCTCTAACAGACAGGAATAGGACACCTGGTCTCCCTACTTCCTAGACGTTAAAAAAATGAAAAAACATGGCCCCCTCCAAATATTTTTGAGATGTTTTGCTGCCATCAGATTTAAAATGAGCTAATGTTTTTCTTAATATGGTACATTTTCTTACTTTGACAATTTGATATTTTTCTGTGTTATACGGTGTTTTGAGATTGTCAAATCATTGCATTCTGTTTTTATTTACATTTTTAAAGAGCATCATAGCTTTTTTGGATTTGGGCTTGTATTTCTTTATACGTTTGGGGCAAACAGTAAATTTCCAATGATTCCTTATATATATATATTTTTTTTTAAACTAAAAAAGAGAAATCTGTTTCCTTTTGTTCTACTTGTGTGGTTTGTATATTGTGTTTATAACGTATGTATATGTGCCAAGATTAGACTGATTTTTGATACCACTCCGCAGTCAGTGCGGCTGTGATACCAACAGGTAGGCAGGTCGTGACGTATGCCACCAGCCACCCCTCCTCCTCCTCCTCCCACCGCCCCGCCTGCCTCCCAGCTGCGTCCGCCGCTGTCCTGTCTGGCCGCCCGGTGTCTGCTCCGCTGCTCCGCGCTCTGCCCCGTTCCTATCCCCGGACCCGAAACCTCTGCCTCCTCGTTCACCACCCCGGCTCCTGGACCCCCTCCCCCCCCCTCTCCGCCCGGTGAATGCACCAGCGCCGTGAACATGACGGGCATCGCCGCCGCTTCGTTCTTCTCCAATTCCTGCAGGTTCGGGGGCTGCGGACTCCAGTTCGAGTCTCTCGCCGAGCTCATCGTCCACATCGAGGACAATCACATCGGTGAGTGGAGCCAGCGGGGGAGAGGGAACTAGACAGCTAGCTGGTATTAGCTAGCCCCCCCCCCCTCCCCCCCTCCCCTCTAGCTAGCTAGCTAAACGCAGATAGGCTCAGCTCTGCATTCCGCTATTCCTGCTTCTTGCTCTCTGTCGAGGCTCGCCGGAGAGGGAGTTATTTATCAACTTTTATATCTGGAAAATAAACTATGCTTTCTGAGATGTTGGGGCCGACTCGTCTGATTAGGAGTCAGCTACAGCAGTTACCTTTGCAGCGGTAACTCGACTAGGAGGGCCGCGTAGGTCTCATAGGTGAAACTAGCATCCCGACCAGACAGCGGTTTCACAGCTAGCGTTGCTGAGCACTGTTTACATTTCCAGGCCTGACGCAGTGCAGCCGTGGCTTTTCTTCATACCGCTTGTGCATTTGAGCTGCCGAAAACTCTTGACTGTCACATTTCTGAAAGCGTCACTCCCCCGTGGCTTTTCTGTTATTTTGGTGTCTAATTCCCACCGGCACTCCATCAGCTGAAGTTGTAGCAGACATGCAAGGACATAATCAGATTTTCTTCCACAAGTACAAGCGCCGACTTGTTGCACCGCTTATTAGATTTTGGTCTGACAGTAAACACTCTGATGACTGCCCCCTGGCACGTATAAATACAATCGTAATCAGTTTGCCCACCATTTAACATAAGAGGCACAGAAAAAGTTGCAGGGTAAACACTCTGGATTATAAAGAGGCATGTATTTATTTAATTAAGTGGTAATTGGTGCAGTTAGTAACTTCTATTATAGCAGCATTGTATGTGGATTCTCAAAAATGGGGGAAAATAGAGCTGGTGTAGGTGCATTTTTGAGCTGTTAAATAAAAATACCTGTCTTTGCGTGCACAATAATTAAAATCTAAGTAAATTATGTGAATTCTTGATAAGGGAGTGCTTTCCTCCTATTGCCTCAAGGTAGCAGAGAAAAGCATGCAGATTTAAAGAACAGAATAAACTGTCACTTCCAACTAAACACACAATAACACAGTGTGTTAGATTAAACTATGATCCACCATAACAAATAAGACTAGAGATGCATTTACGCATCTCTGAATCACTCAGTAATCTGATGTGGGCTAATCATTATTTGTGGGGAGTATCCATCCTCATGAGGCTATGTGAAGGGGGGGAGCGAGGGGTTTACATAGATGCTTCATTGAGCCAGTCTCCATGGCAACTGGCGGTCCCTAAAGGGGTTAGGGGCAGTGTATTTGGCTGAGTTATTGCACACCTGCTGTCTCACTGACAAAGAGTGCTGTCGAGCAACCAGCTGTGTTGAGGACACCCAACGTGATGTCGCGTCACGTGGAGAACAGGACTGATAAACACAAGTGATGTAGTTGGTGTGGTGTTTGCTGGTGGGGAGACGGAGGAGCAGGGTGGGCTGCTCTTCATCTTACCCATATGCTCCATGGATCTCTTCCAAATAAACCCAAGGGTGGAAGAAATCAAAACGTGATTTTTCACCTTGTCCCCACAGAAATGCAGGGATTAATATTGCTTCCTCAGTTCAACAACCCAAACACCACAGACACTGAGTGATGTATGCCCCATCTGGCTCTTAGCCTGACCTTTGACCCTAACTGTCAGATGAACAGAATAGCGGTTTACCAGTCAAATATTCTGGATTAATGAATTGCCCCTCTCCTGGCTTTATAGCACGGTTGGTTATCAGGGGCGGCACAGACATAAAGAGTCTAATCAATACTGCTTTCAGATCAGTTACCATAGGGTCTAGAGTGACACATGGAGAGGATTGAGAGGGGGCGGGGAGGCAAGTGACATTTGGTTTTGACTTCCTTTTCGGTTGTGAATTAGTGCAGTGGCGTGTGATCAATAATCAATCAAAGGATCAGCTAATTTGAAGCTTGAGATATGAGATGCTAGTAGTTGTAAAAAGTGAGTCAGCGGGACTTAAGTCAGGTGTGGAGAAATCAGTGTATGTCTCTGCTGGAAACAGTTAGTTTTTGCTGCAGGCTGTGCTGCCCTCTTGTGGTAGGGCATCTAATGTGCTACACGACCAGAAAACTCCCAAATTTCTGCCTTGTGTTTGGACTCCTGTTCTAATCCGTTATCTTCTATATCGTTTTTTTTATTTGGACTTCTGCCTTGTCTGACACATAATAGCTGGCAGCAAGCAGACCAGATGAGTGTGTCGTGATCCCATCTGTGAGAAACCTAGGAAACGTGTGGATCTACAACACTGATCTCATCCTAAAGGGCAGGAGCCTACCAATGGCATGCCCACACTGTTTAGATTACAGCCGAATGCAATAAGGAAGTGGGGTTAGGTGCACTGTGTTTAGTGTGGTAGTTTTGTTGTGCTGGGAGTGTAGGTAAGGTCTGAGGAATGCAATGATGTCAGGCTTCTCTGCCTGCGTGCACGGCGGCAGCAATGTTCTCACCTGCACAAGCACGTACCTGCCCCTTACCTCAGCAAAAAGGACAGGGAGGGGGGAGGCAGGTAGAGATTAAAAGCAGGGAAAGAGATTTAAAAGAGAAGGTTATGAAAGTCAAAACACGGGTGTGAGCTGAGTACAGGGAAATCCCAAAAGATATCACCTTTGCTTGGACAGACTTTGCTTGAATCCTTGTTTTTCTTCTGCATTCGGAGTTAAAGGTTGAGCTGAAACTACGGCCTTGTAACATGATGTAAACTCTGCTGAAGAATGCTGATCGTTAGTTTGCAGTGATTTTTTTAAAGGTGTTGCTTTTCGATTACAGGGATAATTTTGTGGGTACGATTGGCAAACCACTAGAATTTATTTTTGCATTTCTTTCTTTGTGATGTTGTTTACAGGGAGACAGCATGTTTGAGGATGTGTAGATTATTCTGTTTTACTATGTAAGTTAAAGCTGAATATGTTAGATATTAGGGCTGGGCCATATTATACCGTTCACGGTAATACCGGTACAATGCTAGGCAACGATAAGAAAATGAAATATCGTGCATGCGCAGTGCCGAAAAAGCACGGCGGTAACGGAGAATGAGAATGGAGAAAGCAGATTGTTGAGTGAAACGGATGAACCAGAATTAGTTTGTAAAAATGGTGCAACTTAACTGGTTTGGTGTTTGTCTGTCAGATACACAACAAAGCACATTTTGTTTGTAGAATATGCAAGCAGGCCATCGTTATTGCCGTATTTGTCAGACTAAGGTGCTCGTAAATCTGGGAGTAGTCTGGGTCCTAAACTCCGTCCTTTAAGGTCCCGAAGTCAAACAAACATCACTGAGAGTTAAAAACTGTCTAAATTCTTCCATCTTTAATAAAATGATCAGCGTTGCTGCTTTACCAGGTGTAACTATGATGTTTAACATCCAGGCATCCATGAAAACGGAATTCATTACATTTAACGGAGTTAGAAGTTAGCGGAAGTTAGCTCGCTAGTTTTGCTAGTTACCTAAGCATGATATAGCATGTTCTGACTGAGAGATTTCTGAAAAAAAAAAAAAAAAAATCAAACGTACATCACTTCCAATATAATAGACAGCAGTGACGTTTGTAGGGTTACTGAAGTTGGGCTAGCTGGTGTTTAATGCTGTGCTACGTGATCGCTAGCGACACAGCTATGTTAGCATAACATAAAGAAAAAGTTAACGTGAAGGTTCCTGATGGTTGGAGACAAATGCAATCGCATGGCAGGATGCTGTAAACCAAACTTCAGTCAGGAGAACAACTGAGATAATCCATCCACAATACAAGGTTAGTCATTAATATACTGCAACAACATAGGAATAGAGCAGCTGTGGTAGAATACAGCATTAATGAATCAATGGTACAGAAGTGGAGGAAGCAAGAAGAATAAGTTGAATAAAGTTTGATTAATCTGACTGCTTTGTTTCGCTTAATGTGCCTTATAATCCCGTGCACCTTATGGTCCGAAAAATACATATTTGAAAGCACCTCTTTTTAACTTCAGTGGATATTATACATAGTTATGCTCAGGATATGTCAGCCCATTTCTACTGGAAATGCCTTTTGGTTAAACTTTCAGCAAGGAATTTACTTTTACACTGTTAAATGTTTATATAGCTTTAATGCACATAAAAAACCCCAGCTGCTTGTTTAAGTAAAATAAATGGATGGGTTTTTTTGCGCTAGTAAAGTCCTGGAGTTGTATTTTGTCTCGCAGAAATTATATCGTCAGTTATAACGTTATCGCAAATTTTCAAATATATATCGTGATATATATTTTTGGCCATATTGCCCTGCTCTATTAGATATAACAAAATTTTTACCAGTAAGTCACGTGCTGAAAAGGTAACCAATAAGTCGATTATTTTTACAATTATTTTTCATTTTTATTTTACATTGTAATTATTTTTTGGACAATGTTTTTGTATTAGACTGATCATTTCAGCTCTATGTATATGTGATTTATATATGCATTAAAAGAAGGATTTCAGCTGTTTGTTCTTGCTTTAGTTGTCAGGTTGTTTCCCATCTCGCTCCTGTCAGAGGGTTGAGAAGGGAAGGGGTGCATGTTTGTGCATGTGAGAGGCTGTGCTCACTATACTTCCTGTATGACCTGTCAGGGTGTAGCGAAGCAGTTATTGGACTGGCATCCCAAACTGGAAACTGCAGACCCTCTCTTTTGCTTCACACACACACAGTCACACACACTGTCTTTCGGAAGTCGCACGATCTGAGCACCCCACCAAGCACTGGGAAGCATAATTACAGAGGAGTTTGCTTTTCCCTCCACCCATATGCCCCCTCTCTTTGCTCCCACTCCTCCTCCTCGCCTCTCTTCTCCCTCCATCCGGTTGCCTGCTGCTTTAGAAACACGTTAAAATGCTCTCCGAGGCTTAATTAGCAGGCTGCATAACAAGCCATGCATTCTTGGTCTGGTTTCAGCACATGCACACATGTAAAGAGACACATACACAGACCTCTCTACACAATGGGCTTGTGCATGTGGACACATGCAGACAGAGTACATTCAGCAGGTGGCAGCAGTGTGCCGCTTGTGAGAGATGGATGTGTGGGTTGTGAAATGAGTGGCTGCAGATTGGGCACAGATATTAATAACTAAAGTGTTTCCACACTGGTGATACTTTGAAACAAAACAGATAAGGAAAACATGTACTGAATTACAAATATGCACATGCATGTACATTAGCCTGCTAAAATACTGTACTGTAAATTTGAAATTGGCAGCTTTGAGGTTCAGTTAGCAAATATATATACGTGTGTGTGTGTGTGTGTGTATGTATGTATGTAGCTTATTGGGTGTACATATGCAGGTCTTCTTCTGGCCACAGCAGCAGGATCAACAGCATGCTCACTTTCTGTCTAGCTCGGCGAGTGGAAGTTGTAAAACCGGCTAACATTTACTGCAGTTCTCGCTATCCGCACCTGGCTAACCCCATTTCCACCAACACCCCTCCCCCTTCTCTACACACACTTACCTCATCCACAATCCTCAGCACCTTGAACATCCCAAGATATTAATTCTGGCATTCTTTCCTCACATTTTTGCCATTCTCACATTAAATTGCCTTCAGCTGATGTTTCTTTCACAGTTAATCCTTTGAGTCAGTCTTATCCTGCTATGTAGTTGGAAAAAATGTGGAATTAACAGAATTTCTGCATTGATTACTCATAAAATGTGGCCTAATCTGCATCTTTAGAAAAAAGTTACAGTTATGGACCTCAATAATCTGACTAAACTAAAACCACACAGTTGTGGTTTTCCTGTCTTAATTGAACACATTGAGTGATCACTCACAGTATCGGCTAATAAAAGTAAGTCAGCTTTTGAATTTAGTCACTCGTAGAAGGAGCAACAGTAGCTGCCGACACAGTGAAGAGGGCCCATATAAAACTCTTGATTGGACACTCTTCAGGTTAGCCACAGCATCTCAATTGGATTAAGGTCACTGTCTTGGTCATTAAAACACTTAATTCTTACTTTGTATCCTTTGGGTTATTATGTTGTTGCCACCCTCCTAAGCCTCAGTTCACGGACTGCTACCCTGACACTCTACTGTGTAATGTTTTGATACAGTGTTCAATGTATTCTTCCTTTAATGATTGGCATCAAGGCTGTGAGGTGGCAAAGCAGCCGCAAACCACGATGCTTCCTCCTGCTTGCAGTTTGTTTGCCTACAAGATATTGCTGACTTTTCTTCTGCTTCATGTGCCGGTTTTTTGAAGGGGGCGTGGAGAGGTGGAAGTCCTGGTATTAAGTAATTTTTTCTAGTGAAGATGAACGAACATTTTAGCAAGACTTCTGCAGGTGTTTTGTTGTAACCCTTTGGTCTTGTTTTCACCTCTTTCAGATGTTCTGTGGTTTGATATTTGCAAGACATGCTGTCAGCTTTGTGCATCTCTGTACTGCTTTTTCTTGCAGTCACAGAATGGTTCAGACCTGATTGTAACATCTACTCTTACCAGTAAAGGTTCATAAAGAGATACAATTAAAATGAAGCAGAACTGAGTTCAGGTCATTGCTGCAGCCCTCTATAGTAATCCTAGTTTCTTATATAGGCCCTTAGGAACATTATTTGTCCACCTCTGGTTCAGACTAGCCAGTCATTCTTGAGATGAGCAGCCTACATGAGGCTTTTCATGCATGTCTTTAAAGGAAGTGCTACAGCTGCATCCCAGACTTCCAATCCCATGTCATTAATTGGAACACCTGACTTTCAGTAGCTTTTGGAGAATTTGGTAGTGTTTTTCTAGCCTGGACTGTGAGTAATTACTCAGTGTGTTCAATAAAAGCACGGAAAGTGCAAGTTTTTGTTTGTTGTTAGCAGAATCTGACCAGTGTAAGATTTTTGGGAGTGATATCTATAAAAGAAATCTGTTATTACAATATATTAGCTGAACATATTTGCCTAACATTTGTTATGTGTAGTTATTTATTTACTACACACCCTCAACACACAGAACATGGTTGAAGAGCCTTTCTTCAGTCCCGTCTTTATTTTTCACATTTATTGGCCATTATAAACGCTGATACCAATAGACGGACACACAGATAACACTGGCTAATCATATGGGCTTGGCTCTTGTTTTGATTTCAGTCAGATTTTTGTTTGTTTTCAATTAGGACAGAGGGAAAAATCAGTAGCATTGAAGTCCTGGTAATATGAGGATATTCACAAACTTTTTCTTGCAACTGTATACGTTTGACTCTGATGGACTATTTTAAAAAGATCACACTAATTAGGTTTCTTTCTATCACCTCCCCAGATGTGTTTTGTTCTGTGTTTTAAGTTTGTGAAGTAATGTGAAGATGCCACTGTGGACTCTGTGGGAATCTTTTAGATTAAAACCCCCCCCAAAACAAAACAGGTTATAAATATTCTAATCCAAACTCATTTGTCATTCCTGTCATCTTTTTGCTTAATCTCAGTGCATATATAGATTTTGTTTTAGCAGATTTTCCCCGTTGTTGTCTAGTCTACTCAGTGGTTTCCAAAAGGTTATTAAAAGATGCAGATAGCTCTCACTAAAGCATGTCTCGTGACTCAGGGATGTAGGTTTAGCTGTGTGTATGTGTGTGTGTTTGTGCACAATTATGCATGCACAGAAAGCTCTGGTCTCTACATCTGAGCAGCAGGTAGGATTATTAAGTCTCAGCTATAAAAGACTGTCAGAGACCACCTCTGCGGACCACCTGGGTATATAATCTTGCTACCCTTTTCCCCCTTTGCCTAGTCTTTTTATTTTGAAAGTCACATATATAGCACTATGTTTTGCATGGCAGACCAGTTGAAGTGGGCAAGTTTCTTTTTTCTGGGTTGTTTTCTTGTTTGCTGGTCTCCTTAGTGTTCCTCCTCCCGCACGGTGGGAAGTCTGCATTCTTTGTTTAATTATGAGGTGTGAAAGCCTGAAAACTGAAGGGCTGAGAAGGCCAACACACCACAGTTGGAAGCATCCAGGGGTGTGTTGTTAATTTTTGCACAGAGATGATCTAGTCCTTGGATCTAAATTGAAATACATCTGCTAGCTATTACATATGTTGCTGCAATTATGCCTGCTAGTGCACACACTCACGCAGACATAGATGGCTTGGCTTAAATGTACTGTTTTTTTAAGCTCCTTCTGAACATTCCCAGATTGAACACTTGATGGCACTGGTAGTTCACATATGTAACCCACCCGCAGTGTTTTCATGCACACTTGCTTCTGTTTTCCCGGGGTGTGAGATGGGACTTTGAAGTACACACTGCTTGCCTCAGGCAGTGGAAGTTGCCGACTGTAGCGTTACTGACTTAGCAAGTCATCTGGAAAAAGCCTGTATGTACTCCTCAGCTCATACAGTGTGTACATTCATCACAGCCGCCTTTACTCTAAAGTAATTTTTTTCTTTTTGTAACCACATCCTCCCCCCGGCAACGATTAAGTGGTCTTGGGTCACTTCAGCGAAGGCATTGGTTGTAAATTAGATAGGGCTTGGTTCTGCTGTAATAACGTGCCGTTTATGAAAGTATCTGAAATGTATCTGCAGGGTGCCACACATTGAGACTAATACAGTGAACGCAGTGTGAGACATATCTAGTAATCTATCAGCCTGTCTGGCAGAAAGAATACATGTGTGAGTCAGCTACATACTTAGAGTATTCACAGAACATTTTCCCTCCACAGGGAGTGGTGATTAATCTGAACGTCTCCTTCTCTCGCAGACACAGATCCGAGGGTCTTGGAGAAGCAGGAGCAACAGCAGCCCACCTATCTGGCCCTAAGCTACATCAACAGGTAAGGCACACACAATCGTACACATTCACACACGCTCAAAAGCATCCGTCTACAGAGGGCACCATTGTTCCACCAGTGAAGTTAACGTGCGTGTGAGTGTGTGTATATGTGGCTTGCGGAGAACATCTCCAATGACTGACTTTTCCCATACCCACAGCAGTGACTCATCCACAGACCAGCACAGAAAACCACACAAGACAATCACTTTTGACTCCCTGTGCAGCCAGAGGATTACGGCATGTGTGTGTTTGTGTGTGGTGAACCGATGTGTCACGTCCCACTAAATGCCTCGTTAAATCCCTACAAGATGTAACACTGAGAGAGATAATGGTGGAATGAAAGAGAGAGGTTTGTTTTCTGTGATAATTGTTCAAGTGGCGAGGCTATAAATGTCATTCGTATTTACTGTACATGTTTTGACAGAATATTTAAGGGAGGAGTTCACTCAGCAGCAAGGCCCTGTCTTCTCACACAAACGGACATTTTTCTCATAGCAACAGTGGAGCACAGCTTAACGCCACATGTTAGAAAACCAAATTTGGATATGAATCACAATTTATGAAAAGGATAATAAATAATAAATTAACAGGGTTTTATTAAAGCAGCGATACTTCTGCAGTCAACAGAGGGTACGAGGACAGATTAGCCAAACTTATAAGTAAATAAAAAAAATAACATTTAAATAAACAGTTAGCAGCTAAAAAACACCGTGCAAAGACAGCTAAAAGAATACATATATTATTAAAACTGTAACAAAAAACCTAAACTGTGAAACAATATTTGAAATTGCTAATAACTAGTTAAACTTATTAGCTAAGACTTTTGAAACTGTATACCATTTGAATAAGGATTTTAATTTGATTGCTAATAGTATGGATATAGTAGTATAATAGTATAAACATTTAAACAGTTAGCATTACTAAATAAATTGCGACAAAATAAGCTGAAGTTGGGAGTTAAGAGCTAAAAGTGAGGCTTTAAATTGAATCTTGTAGCTAAAAGCATGGATTTCCCACTGCAATGACTAGCTAATGGCAAGATAAACCGTTCAAGAAATCTAAACTAGCTAAAAGTCAGTCATTAGCTAAACATAATACAGAGGTGAAATGTTGAAAAAGGCTGGACAGTATTGGCTGAAAATGTGTCTATCAGCTGAAAATCTTACCCAAAAGTATAGATTCACACGTGCAACTAAATGGAGTGGGAAAACTGTTGAAAGTGGTCAGTGTACTTAATTAATAGCTGCTAAACAGAGTTGTAGCTAAAAGTTGTAGATGAAGGATTAAAATAGGCTACATCATTAGATCAATAGTGGATCCGTGGCTGTACACCAGTTTAAAAAGTAAGAGAACTACTGTTTTAATTTATAATTTCATGTAATCACAAGCAAAATCTAAGTAGTTAGGCCTCAGTTGCAGAGGCCTAGAGGCCAGTGGCAGCCACTAGTTGGTAGGGTTTGTGTCATCCATGCAAACCACAGGCAACAGTTGCAATCTGCTAGTGACCAAAGCAATCAGTATGTTTTTGGTGCCGTACTGTAGCATGTTTGCTGTCTCTAAACCTCTGTGGCTGTAGCCTTAGCAGGGAAAGGGCAAAACTACAACAATTACCGAAGTTATAATAAACTTTCAGTTAATTACCTTTCAAATTAAGAGGTCAAAGTTATAAAAAACTCCCAAAAAAACAACCCAAGTGGATGAAAACGTGTTAGCATTTATTTGAAAAACATTGCTTATATTCATAAGGTTTTCAAGTTGATGAGAACATAGCTGTCACATAAGTTTAGTATTACATGCAGGTAGGAGACCTCTCCACTGATTAATAATGAGAAATCGGATAATGCGAACTAATACAATAACTGTGCGACGTCAGGTTCATGACGGATGCAGCACGCCGGGAGCAGGAGACCATAAAGAAGAAGGCCACACCCAAGTTGTCCCTGTCCATCACGGGCGGAGTGTCCAGGAACAGCACGGCCACACCTCCCCGCCACACCAGCGGTAACCTGACGCCTCCCGTCACGCCCCCCATCACCCCTTCCTCCTCATTCCGCAGCAGCACACCTACAGGTATAACCGGTGTGTGTGTGTGTGTGTGTGTGTGTGTGTGTGTGTGTGTGTGTGTGTGTGTGTGTGTGTTCAAACGTATGATTGAAAGGGAGAAAGATGGATTGCTTATATGTGTGATGGGAAAGGATATGTTGAAACTGACTTAGGCAATTTAACCCTACTGACACAAAGAGAAAAAAACATGGGAAGCATATTCATCAAAGTCAGACAGCGTGCTGAAGAGCGAGTGAAGATATTTGTAATGCAAATGGAATGCAGCTTATTTCATAGCTGTCCAATGGCTCTGCATCTCAAAGTGAAAACTACAAAATACCTGCTAGGAGTGCACAAGCCTGCTCATCTTATATTCAGCAGTGTCTCTGTAAACATTAACCATTATTTTTTTTGGATATTTCTGGCCAATTCTCTGCTAATACTTGCTCTTTTGTAAATCATCAGGAAAATCTGCTGTCACAGTGGAAAGCTTGTAACCAACCACTATGTTCCTGTGTGTGTGTGTGTGTGTGTGTGTGTGTGTGTGTGTGTGTGTGTGTGTACTGTTTGTGTCTTGGGAATGGTGGCTCCTGCAGTGAGCAGACCAGTCAACACTTTGCTAATTACATAGCAGCTGTCACGCTGTGTGTTCGCATGGGGCCGTGTGTTGCACAGCCTAGAAGCAGATGTCCAATTCCAGCCCAAATGGTTCCAAACGTAGTGTTAGGTCTGGGCTTACACATCAGCATGGCTACACACACACACACACACACACATATATATATGTGCGCGCGCGCACACGCCCCCTTTCAACATGTGCCAGGGTGCCATCCATTTCCTCAAGCTGAGGTGCAGCATTTCCTGTGAGATGGTGGGGGGTCAGTGGGCCTTTATGTCTATGTGTGTGTGTGTGTGTGTTTGTGTGTGCATGCATGTGAGTGGAAAATGTTCTGCACTTAGTAAAGCACTTTTTCCAGGCTGAGCAATGGGGATCACTCCCACTTAATGATCTCTTTCTCAGTGCCAATCCCCACATTTTGACTCACAGGCACACACGGAAGCACATCACACCATTTCTGGCTTGTGCGTTCCGTGATATGTGGGCTGCTTATGCATCCGAGCAGGGGACAGCACGCAGAGAAATGTGTTAATAAAAAGTCACTTATCGTTTTCTGCTTCTCAAATTCCCAGGGCGTTGCATTCCCGTGGGTATGTCGCTATCCCTGTTTCAGCTGGGTTGACAAGTGTTTTTTTGTTCTGCGTGGCTCCATTATGCCTTTAGGCAGCGAGTATGATGAGGAGGAGGTAGACTACGAGGAGTCGGATAGCGATGAGTCGTGGACCACAGAAAGCGCCATCAGCTCTGAGTCCATCCTCAGCTCCATGTCAATGAACGGGGCCGATGAAAAGCCGTTCGCCTGCCCCGTCCCCGGGTGTAAGAAGAGATACAAGGTAAGGCTGAACCTGAGGGCGGAGCAGGCAGTTCCACGAAGGCATGAGGTTTTACTTCTGAATAAATCCACACTAGAACTTTTGTCTGAGTATCACATGTGTTTGAAAAAGCACATTATAAGATCTGAGGGTGATTAATATTTTCTGCTTCACTTAATTTTTTTTTAATTCATTTTTTTAATAACAGCTGGCAACAAAAAACTCATTCAGCTTGCTCACTGTCCAAGCTGCTTAACTAATGGACAGTGTGGGAACATTTCTCCCTAATACCCCGAAGACAAAAACAGCAGCGTGGGAAAAGCGACCTTTGTTGTTGAGGGGCATTCACAGAGGATGAGACTAGCAGTGATATAACAACCAGACACCGCAGGACTTCGGCGAAATTCAGGGACTGATGGTGACGACACTGAAGTATCCATTAGTGATGCAGTGGGCGGGTACATAGTTGAAGTTCTCCAACTTTAAAGCGGAGAAAGGAAATTGTTGATTGACAGAAAAATGGTAAAATTAGCATGCAAACATGCTAATATGAAGCAGTCTTAAGGTTTACCTTCCTAGTTTAGTAGTTCAGGATGATAACTTTAACTCCCTACCACTAAACACAAAATAGCAGTTTTGCTGATATCATGTAAATCACTTATATTTCTGGGCGTTTTTAGTCTTTATTGTCTTAGGACAATGTATAGAAGACCACAAAGCTGGGAGAGAGAGAGAACAGGGAAAGACATGCAGTAAGTGGCCTCAGGGTGGATTGGCGAGACATCCATCCCTGCATCTGTCTGTGCACTATTAATAAGCAGTACTGTTCAGATTTTAGTGAAACTTGCACCCAGTAATGGGTCTGCACCCAAATTGTGCTTAAGGTCAAATTCATATTTGCAATTCTCAGTAGATTTTAACTCTGGTGGCTTTATGATATAAGGAGACTCAAAGTATTAAACAGCTGGTGCACATGGGATTTTTCTTTTGTGTACCACATGATAACTGACAACTGATCTGCTACCTATTGTTTTAAAATAAAAAAGGCTAATCGATTGAAATCTACCATGTTTTATCATTGTGAATGAGATAAAGTCAACTCACTGGCGCTACTCTATCATGATGTGTGTAGTAAAAAACGAGAGAGGAAAAACAAATGTTGGATGAAGCCTACGTTTAGTGAAATGTTTCACATTTGTATTTTCGTTGTATTTTCATTGGAATTCTGTCCATAAAATCTGGGATAATGCTCTGGTGTTTTATAGATGCTGTGTGCAATCAAAAGTGGTAATTATAACCCCATTTTTCTTCTTCATCTCTGCATGCGACCACTTTCTTCAGAATGTGAATGGTATCAAATACCACGCCAAGAACGGCCACCGCACACAGATTCGTGTGAGGAAACCCTTCAAGTGTCGCTGTGGCAAAAGCTACAAGACCTCGCAGGGCTTGAGGCACCACACCATCAACTTCCACCCGCCCGTCTCCACCGAGATCCTCCGCAAGATTCAAGGCTAAGAGCCCGCGCTCACACCAATCAACTTCCCCTAAAAAAAAAAAAAAAAGAGTCCTGACTTTCCTTACCCATCCTATGTACACTAAAGGATCAAGTGCATGCTTTAAGTTTTTTTTTTTTTTTTAAATCATCTTCTTTTTGTGTGTTACGTTAGTATTTTTTTCTATCTATGTTATATCACTTGTATTTTTTTGGGAAACAAAAAAAACCTATCTTTGTAGTATTTTTATTGATGTACATTTGCACATTCGTATATGCTATCACATTATTTTATTTTCTATCGTTCGACTTACATAAGGTGCTAACTGTAAAAAAAAACAACAGAAAGAAAAGACAAAAAACAAAATGATACGAAAGTAAAGAGGAGAAAAGACGGAGACGTGAAACAGGAAGTGCAACCAAGCCCTGCCTTCCTCCTGCTCAGCTCTGAGTGGGATGAAGTTGGCCTCCAGTGCTGATGTAAGCTCAGCGGTTGTTACACTCCCTTTTGAGCTGCAGAGTCCAGCTGAGCTTAGATCTGTGCCTTCACGGTCATTTGTGGGGGTGAAAGCGCTGGAGTTAAGTTATACTTTTAATAGATATATCGATATATAAACAATAGACAGATATGTATGTGTACATAAAAATATATAAAAGTATTCATGAGCATATACATAGTTACTTTATTTTCAAGCTTTATTTTATATATTTTTGTCAGTGTTTTAGATTTCGTGTTCATTTTTATGTATCAGTAAGTGTTCCTTTCATTCCTCATTTGCTGATTGAGCAATTCTGTCACCTCAGAGGTCAAAGGTCAATCAGCTGGCTGACTTTAGGTTCTGAGTTTTTGTTTCTTTGTTTTCCTTACATGTTCTACAGATTAAGAGCTAATGCTCCTTTCAGTTTGACACCGATCTGTGTGTCGTTTGACCATTTTATCACGTGGAGAACGTATTAGAACACGGCCCGATCCGTATCCGCATTAAGCCATCGTTATCTCCAGCGTTTCTTCATTCACAGTGCCAGAGCTGCGTTCCACACGCTTAGCCACAAAAGTGGGTTAAGCGGCACACTTTATTCCAGTTGCCAAGATCTTTGTAGTTGTTTTGTTTTTTCCATGATCGTTGCCAACAGCTCTCCACTGCCAAACATTGACCATACCATGTGCCTGATGAGGGGATGAGGAGAGAGGGAGGGGGGGAGGAAAGGAAGGTGGATGGGAAGAGTGTTGTAATATTTCCACCCCGGAGGTCGCCCCAGACTTGTGGCAGTTATTTTCTTGTATGTCGCACCTCCAAAAAGAAGAAAAAGAAAAAAGTCACGGGAATGAATGGATGTACACGAGAAGAATGTTTTTCACGCATGTTTCTGTGTCGTGTGGAGACGTGTGAAAGAAGAAGGTGGATTTTGTATTTGAAAGAGATTACCATCTACGTGTCGTTTTTGTGCGTGTGTGTTTTAGACAAAAGCATTCCAGTCCATTGTGTGTTCGCGAGAGTGTGAGTGGTGTGTGTTTTCAGCAGTATCCAAGTCATCAGCCTAGAGAGTATTACTGTAATCTGTGTCTCATTGCTCGGATGTGTCATGTTTCTGTGCCTGGCTGCTGGTTCAACTCCTATGGAGCAGGGTGGTTGGCTGGCTTGTTGCTCCTGACTGGGATTTCATCATTCCGAGTGAGAGCGCAGTGCTTCACCTCGCCAAGACACATTTGTTCATTATATCATCATTTCCCTCATTGTACAAAAAAGTTTAGATTCTGCTCAAGGCTTGCAGCATGAGCCCCCCGTTCATTTGATAGGTACAGTGATCTCCGACATGCACACACCGTCCTGTCCTCCAGTTTGGCTATAGGGATTTTTACTTACACAATGTTGTTAAAAGGCAGACTGCAGGATCGCCACATACCCTCAGCGAGTGTGCTACTACATAAGCACAAATCCATGCCTATTTTAAACCACCTGGAACCTGGATCTGTAAAATCCTGGCACCAGGTTACGAGGACATCTGTGGAGCTGCTAGCCTGAGATGATGATAGAAGACACTTCAGTCCGGCCTTTGAGCGTAGGAGAGAAGGTTCTCTGCGGGGACAGACTGAAAGTTGAGCTGTCAAGCACTCGTAAAAACAAAACCCATCCTCAGCTTCAGACTCGGGAGGGCCACTCGCACATATGGGAGAGGAGAAACGGAGGGTGTGTGCTGGAGGGGAGATGAGGGAGGAACTTCAATATACCGTGTACAGTGAATGTATTGTAACGTGCATCTGTTGTCAAGTGCTTTTAAATTATATTTTCGTATGTAACGTGGAGACTGATGTTTCCTTTTTTTGTACGGGGGTACAACAGGTTCTGAGAAGAGTGACTTGTAAATGATGTCAACCTGTCTTTCTATATAAAAGAGAAGCTGCTTAAATGTAAACAGGAAACGACTGAGAAAAAAAAAAGCAAAATAAAGTAAAAAAGCTCCACATCTCAGACTCGTGTTCATTACTTATTCAGCTCAGAAATGAAGAACAAAGCATCAAAATGCATTTAGACAAGCTGACTTTATTCATAAAGATCTTTGCAGCACCACTTAAACCATTCTCACATGAAAAGGCCTGCATCGGACACGTGACATACATACACAGTTTTGTCTTGTGATGACTGGACATGTGCGTTTCTTTCCTTTTTCTTTTTTTTTTTTAAAAAGCCTGGTTACAACACGCATAATGACTGAAATAAACAAGCGGTGGTGATGAAGCCCCGTGAAGACGCACATAAACGACATTCAGTCATGAGGGCTAACAGACTGTGACTGTAAAACATGAAAGTACGTAACAAGTCTAACCCCGTGTCCGGCAGCCAGTTTAGCCAAAAACGAGGTTCATTATCTCCTAAGCCCAGCTTCGTACGGCCGACCTAAGATCAAGAAAGTGCACGCCAGGAAGTAAAACATCATTGGTCCTGTCTTCTTTTAAATATGAGGGAGGTAACGATAAGGGGAGGCGGGTTCACAACGTAATTCACAGGTATCGCCACAATTTATATTTCTTTTCATTTATGTACAGTACATTCAGAATAAAGCCTTATTTAGTGCAGATACATGAAAATGTAGTGCTGTTTTCTTTTGTGTTTAAACCATCTCATACGTACAATATTTCATCTCCACCACACAGTTCTTCACTTTTTATGTACACGCACAGGCGACTCTTTTAAGATGTCACATATTCATATTCACTTTGCATTTATGCTCTTATCTCTCGCGTCTTGCGAAGCATCATACTCTGAGGACAAATAAAGGACGACTCACTGCCTTGGATGATTTCTCACTTGGTGTATGCATGTTCGGAGAAGTTAAAAGAACAGGGACGTTTAGGATGCTTTCCCTCGGAGTCCCAGTTCAGCTTTGTGTCTGTGAATTGTTTTGGAACACAAAATATATATATTTGTGCATTTAATCCCTTGAAGGAGAAAGATGCTAGAAAAGCAAAGGATTGTGGCACTATTCCTGAATGTTAATGATTGTATGTTAACGTGAAAAGCTGCTAAATAACTTGGGAGGACTAGCCGCCTAAGTACAAACTCTGCTTCCTTTCAGAAGTAGACTACATTCTCTTAAACGTTCCAAACAAAAAGGAAAAAAAAAACCCCCGAGAAAAATCACAACAAAAGTGCAAATGATTGTATGTTAACAAGATAAATCAACCAAACCCGAGTCAAAATCAACTAATAGCGACACATATTTACCCATACAGTATGCCGGAACCCCCTCCCCTTCATTCGATTTGCTCAAAGTTGAGGACGTGGCCGTCAAAGTGCGTGAGGACGTGCCGCTCGAAGAGCTGCTGCTGACAGTTGAGCGGGAACTGCTCGGAGCAGACGGGGCACACCTTCCAGTGGCTCTGGACGTGCTGCTCGAAGCTGCGCTGCTCAAAGTGCGGCGGGAAGATCACCTCGCACAGCGGGCAGCGCTTGTGAACGTCACTACTGCGGAAGGGGATGAGGGGAAAATTGATGAGGTCGGGGGTTGGTGGAAGGGGTGATGGATAGACGAGAGAGACAAAAAATTGAAAAAGAAATGTGAGTTTCCGTGTGGATCATTGTAATGGAGTAGGCCTCTTTTGCTCACAGACCAGATTATGACTAAATAATGAAAGCCAGAGACGTGCGCCTCTTGAAAAGCAGCTGTTGAGTCACTTGCAATAAGCAACTGTGTTACCCCCCCTGCAGGGTAATTATTGGCTCTGTGCGCTACTCTTCCCGTAAGAGCAGAAACAGATAAATTAATTCTGTCTTCATGTGATCCTCTATGTTCATAAGGAAGAAATCTCTGACTGTGTCATTTAGCATGTTATGTCATATATACTGGGGTTCAAAATGAAGAGGTCTTACTTGGAGCAGTTTAAGTTCTGGAGAGAAAATGAATCAATGGCTACTTTGATACAAATCTTTTTTTTTCCAAGGCAAAAACTCCCAACAAAGCAGCTGTCTGTGCATCTGTTTTTACTGATGCTCTTGTGCGTTACTTTGTTTCCTTCTTTATGTGTCGTGTCTTCTAGGACACCTTGTGTTGAAAATGAATGTCCTACCTGGAGTCAAAGCAGAAGCTGCTCCTGGTTTCACTGCGTCTGTTGGGCTGATGATCACAGGACTGCTGAGCCCCATCTCCCACCTTTGGCACACACACACACAAAAAGAAAATTTCCACTATTTGCTCACAGATCTGAAAGCTTTAATGAACACCACCTCCAAAGACAATTACAGGAAAAAGGAGTGCGACTAAAGTAAATGAAGCGTGTGTTAGTAAACTATGTGTACCTACGTTTCTATTACATGACAGTAAACAAGGATGCCCCATTATCCGACAGTCTCTAACTCATCTTCTGCCTGTCCTTATGCAAAACCTCCTCTAATTACTCTCCCCCAGCTCTTGTTATCTTCATCTCTCTTGAGCTCTGAAGGAGTGACACTAATTAGAGCTTCATGCAAATGAGTTCAAAGCACCGTCTTTTAAGGCCAAGCTGCATTTCCCTTCGTTTAGCGAGGGAGAAATCCTCCAGAGACGGAGAAGGGTGAAGTAAACGCGGGATTATCGTGGCAACAACAAAAAGCCAGTGTAGGAGAGCAACGGCTGGGATCGCATCACAGTGATTTAAAATATCCCTCAAAAGTTATGTAGAGAGGTCAATTAATGCTGCCAATCATGGTTTTGTATTTATTCAGAAATACAATGCATTATTTATATATAACAACACTACATACACTAAATATAAAATTTTAGCCAACAATAGGTTTTTCAGTTTTGAGCTAGATACACCGCTACTCACATTTTGTGGCTCCTCTGGTGGATGCTCGAGGGTCTCGGGGGGACTTGTGCTACGGGAGGGTTGGATGCAGACCACCTCTCGATCCCAGCCTGGTGCTCCCGGACCCGGGCTAGACGGTGAGATCGGAGGTGCGCAGGGAGGGGTGCAGGATGGAGCCTCAGGTGGGGGACGGGACACGTGCTCAGGGGAAAGTGCAACATCCCCCCGATCTAAAAAGATTAACACATTAAAGCAGCAGGGGAGCAGCAGGGACACAGAGTGCGAGTAAATCATTTCAGTTTCTGACCCGACCTCTTGTGGTGTCGGTGGAGTAAGGATTGCCGTACTGCAGCTCAGCGGGCCTCTGCGGCACCAGCGGCGGAGGGGAGGGATGCTGGGGGTAGGGCAGAGGGTAGCGCAGCACCATTGGCTGCCGGACCTCAGCACCCTGAACAGCAACCTCCTGCTCCCTCTGCCTGGACATGTAACGCTGCAACTGCTACAGAAGAGATGCGAGAGGGCTTTACATTTTACACTTCACGGCCACACCTCATTTAAAAAGTCCTGGATATCCTCCTGATGCTATAAGCGCAGAACCGCAGTCAGTCTCAGTTTTATAAGTCATCAGTTAACATTTCAGCAGAACCTTTCTCACAGTTGGTGAGTGCGTTCATCTTAAGAGTTAAGTTTCCCGTCTACATTGTTTCTGCCCTTTGTGATTATATCTGAAGCAAGCGCATTAGTACCCTACTCATTACTGTAATGGGTGTCAGACTCTGGCTCCCTCTGCTCTGGCTTTGCTGATAGAAGCACTCACCCTCTCCCTTTCTTTGTAACTCCTTCCTTACTCTCCCTATTCCTCCCTGATCTCCTCTCTTTATGACTTCATTAGTGCGCTGCTATCAGGTTTAACATTTAAACCAGGGTTGGGAAGGTGAAACAGACACGTTGTGTGGCATTTGCACCATCTAATGGCACTGTACCAGTGGGCGAAAGAAGCAAGTATAGATGTATTAATTAGAGGAGAGTGGGGAGTGTTGAGTAAGAAAGAAAAAGCTATGGAAATGGTTCATACACCTCCTATAATTGAAAGCAATGATACTGGTCTGGGCTTCAGCTCCGTCTACATTGTCTAAGTATGTGAATTTGATTGTAAGTAAGAGCTATGTTGAGGCTAAAGTTTTATAACCTTAAGTTGAGGTCATTGTTGAAATATGCACAGTTTTACCTGCAATGAATAGATTCATTTATGCTCAACTTGTGCCTGCTTAGAAATCAGAGTATGCAAAAGTTTCTAGAGTGCTCGGGCACTATGTGTGGAGAGAGTGCATTAACATTTTCACTGTTTTTAGACCGATTTCCATGGTGACAGTTGATTTTTCTCCTCTTTTCAGGCCAATATGGCCACAATTTATGTGCAGACAAGTGGAAAACCTGAATGAAAGTGCTGAGTTGCTGTTAAAGCAACAATGTTGCATTGAAATTCATTTAGAGAACACTGGTGGTGGCATCTTTACCTCCTGTAATTGCTCTTTGTCTCTGAGAGCCTGGGCAAGGTTGCGTTTCAGTTCGGTGACCTCGCTGGCTCTCTCTGCCATTTGGACCTAGTGAAATAGATAAAGACAATCAACTCACAGCACAGTGCATCTCAGCATTTTTTTTTCATTTGACGTACAGACCTGTAAGATGGGCTCAAGAATCCCTTTATCAACAGCTCCATTCATGTTCAACTGTATTATCTTGAACTCATTTAAAACCAGGATTTGCCTACACTTTACTCTTACCAATTATTTTCAGATTAGCAATTTCATCCTCAACGTTTAGCTGTGGCTCAATTTAATAACAGCTCGTTTAATCTATTATGTGTTGATAGCATTTGTTTTTGTTTAGTTGTTTCAGTTTTTCCAAAACTTTTATTTTTATTCTAACTGCCAATCTGTATGGTTAGCCAATAATTTTAATTGCCAACCATAGTTTTAACTAATAATCTTCAACTTTTTCCCCCTTAGTTGTACAATACCGCTGAAGGGCTGTACAGCTCAGGAGTATTTTCATCACGCCACCGGGCGGGGTAGCATGGACACCCAAGTTTGTGAACATGATGACTTAAGAACGATGCAATATAGGATTTTCAAATGCATACCATAGGAGCATCTACTGAAAATCTCAGACCAGTTTGAACGATTTTGATCTTGACCTCAAAGTCAGGATCAGAGGTCAAGTTTTTTGAAAATTCTGTCTACGTGATAACTGGAGGCCGATGTGGCCAAGGATTTTTTCAAATTGATACCATAGGTGCTCTTATCTAGTATTAGGCTATGGGATAGCATTGGCGGCCACCAGTATTTTTATTCATACGATTCATACAGCTTTTAGTTGATAATAACCGCTTTACTTGTTGCTTTTATTTTGTGCCAACTTGAGAAGACCAAAATCAGCCTTCATACAGCCAGGTAAGTGAAAATATTTGGTTTTAATTTCACCTGGTGCAGCCTCAGATGTGTGGGCCTTGCTATAAAACACATAACATAACATAAAGCTGAAGCGGACCAGGGGATCGTAGTAAATCTCTTAGCCTCTAACAGAACTGACCCTGTGGGATAGTTTACATGGCCCGTTGCCCGTCTTCTCTAATTTCACCCCATTTCAAAGGTTCCAGATTCCCTCCCTTCCCATGGTTTCTCTTTCTGCTCAATGTCCATCTGTCTATCCCAATTTTTTCTCTCTTAAATTCTGTTCGCTTCTTTTGCTTCCCCCACTTGTTCTCTTTCATCTCCTTTTGTCCTCTCTCGTGTTTTCCTTCTATCATAAATTTACGGCACGGCATTAGAAGGTTAAGTTCAGGTGAAGGGAGTCCGCAGCAATGTAGTACTATGCACCCCCCCCACACACTTCATCCTATTCCTCTCCCTCTCTCCTTCCTCTGGGTGGCTGATGTAAACAGCCGTAAAGCATGCCGCTCTGCGGCTGCCTCGCTTGTCAGTCTCCGGGGCCATTAAGAGCAGCTTGGGACCCGGGGTGCTCGCCCCAGACAGGAGACTCTATCAAAGTTGAGGGAGAGCCGTATTTACAGCGCCGATAAACACACACTCACTCATGGAGATTAAATGCTATTTGGTACTTTAGTGGAGGTTCGCATTCAAAATGCAAGGTCTCTACTGAATCACGCACACATACCACACATGCTGGCTCACCCATTGGAAGGTATGATCCATACTGTAAGTAGTAGAGCAGTTAGACATTTGTTGTTCTTCAGGCTTTGTGGTTCAGCAAATTCCATTTGAATGACTGGGTATTACATTAAAGTGTGCATGGCACAGCAGACCGTCGTACAACAATGTTTTTCAGGCAGCTGTGTTTTATTTTAATGGTAGATTGTGCATAAAAGAGCATTAAACTGAATTTGACAATGAAAGCAGCACAGAGGCAGCCATGCATGTTAAGTGAAGATTTTAAAAAAGAAAGAAAGAAAAAAAATCTACCAATAGTAGAGGTACAAATCCCCACGACATGATATTATCACAATACATGATAGCATGTATATAGCATGATATGATATTATTGCAATTTTTAACAATTTGTTATACACTGAGTATAGATATATAACATACAGGAGTGTCCCAAAATGCACTACCGGTATATACTTCGTTTTTTCTAATTCATTTCAGGTTTTATTTGGAAAGACTTGAGGCCATGAGCATATATGACAGTTTTGGTTTTACAGTTTTGGTAAGCGTATCATTTTTGTGCCCATGGTCCGCCAAGTGACACTGGAGCAGCATTGCAAAATTTCCTACTTAGCAAGAAGCTTTTCAGTCCCCGACGACACTGCTCCAGCGCATAACACAATTTATGCAATCCGTGGCAAATTTCTCAAAACAGGATCTGTTTTTGACAAATCACGCAGCAGAACGCCTGCTATTACCACCAGTGATGAAAACACTGAACTCCTGGAGCAGGAGCAAAGCCAGGGAAGTCTATACAGAGCGCTGCACTGGAACTGCACTATGTGGCGGCATACAGCTAGTCTTCAAGGTGCTGGAACATTAAGGCAAGTCTAGCAGGTAAAACTGCAACCACTCCTTTGTTGATGCTAAAAATATGAATAAACTCAGTTTCTGTAATTTGTATGAATTTATTAAAATTGTATAGTGAAATCTGTATATTGTGAATATACTGCAAATTATGTCCTCAAAGTTGTACTTTGTCAGTATTTATTTTAACCAGTATATCTCATTTCTGTTACTTTTTGCTGTGGAATGAGACCCAACACCCTCACAATCACATTCTCTCTGAGATTTACTTAATCTTAAGGTTATGTCTTTGTGTCTTACTCTGAATCGCTCCTCCTCGTCAGCCAGCCGTTGTTTGAGTGTCTCGTTGATTGCGCACTGCTCCCTCCATTTCTCCTCCATCATTGCCAGCTCCTCCTCCACTGAACGAGTCTGCTCCTTCTCTGCCTCTTCCATGCACCTCTCCTCTACCTCCAGCCCCTGCTCCTCGGCACCGTCCCTCAGCTCCTCCATATTCAGGGCCCCTTCCACCTCACTGTTTTCCTCAGCGCCCAGCCTCTCGTTCTCCACTTCTACCCAACTCGCCATCCTCAGGCTCTCTTCCGGCAGGCTCTCCTTCCACTCCTCTTTTTCATTCTCATCCATTTGTTTAACTTGACTTTCAACCTTCACCTCAGCTTTCTCTTCAAGTGTATTCAGTGTCTTCTGCTCCTCCTTCTCTGTGCACACTTGTGTATCAGCATTTGTGACTTCCTTGTTGCTGACGTCTGGAGTGATTGTCATCTCAACAGCTTCTTGTAGGACTGCCGCAGCTATATTTCCTGTAAAAACACAAAGTTACAATTAAACCTATTTAAATGTAAAGAGTTTTACACAGAGAAATATGAGCTGAAGGCATTAACCATAATTCAGCTCCTTGGCACTGGGTGGAAAACAGTGGGTCTTTCACTGAAACCCTGTGGAGAAATCTGCAGCAGCACAAGTACAAGGGTACAGAGTGGAGTTTTTATGAGCGAACTTATTGCAGCCTGGCAAAAGTGATCCAGAGGTGCACAAGGACACGAGAGAGAGACTGCCAAAATAAAAATTAGGCGTTTGATTTCAGTCAAGTACGGAGGTGGAAACATTATGTTTTGTGGCTATTTTTCTGCTAAAGATACAGGATGACTTTCCCAAAAACCCAAAAAGAATCCACACAAACATGTGGCAAACATGCAAATGCCACACAGAAAAGCACTGGCCAGATGGTGGTCGAACTGTAAGGCAACAGTGCTTTAGCAAATGACGTGGTTCTGATGAATTCATCAAGCCATGACCTCCAGCTTACAATGGGGCAGTTTTTAGCTGAATGTGAAGTGGTTAGGTTAAGAATTAGTGCCTCCAAGTGTGAGGCTGAAAAAGGGTAGAGTGCCCACTCCAGGTTGGGAATGATTTGTTGTCTCAAGTGGAGGAGTTTAGGTATCCTGGCGTCTTGTTCACCAGTTAGGGGAGAGTGACATGTGGATTGGTGCGATATAAGCAGTGATACGAATGCCAAACTGGTCTGTTGTGGTACAGAGAAAGCCGAGTATGAAAATGAAGCTGTCGATTTACTGACTGATCTTGTTCCTACTCTCACCTATGGTCGTGAGAAACTGAGATTGTGAATACAGGTCCGCAGAGATAAGGTAAGGAACTCAGTCATTCACTCAGATTGACTGAGCTGCTACTCTTCCACATTGAAAGGAGGCAGTTGAAGTGGTCAGCCAGAAATGCTAGAGAAATTACATCTCTTGACTGGAGAAGGAGGTTGGGGAGAAGGAGGTCTTGGCGTCTTTGCTGTCTCCCCAACCTAGACCTGGATAAATGGCAGAAAATGGACAGATGGAATATGCCCTTTATCTGAATGAATGTACCTCCTGTTGGTGACTCTGGACTAGGGGTCAGTGGCTCCAGTGTTGTCTCAGTAGATGCATTTCTCTTTGGCTCCTGCAAAGATATACACATCAATGAAATGCAATTTTGCTGGTTTAGGCACATATGGAACTGAACGAAATGTTTCTTTTCAGCCTGATGAGCATTGCTAAAAATTACTCACCCCTTGGGACTCCGCTGTGTTCAGTTTGGCCACCTGTCTGCGGAGGCGCTGACACTCCCGGTACTTCTCCTTATAGTGCTCAGCAGCCATGTGGAGACGCAGCTTCAGCTCCTCCACTTCCCTCTGCAGCTCAGCCTCTGCCTCTGACACCACAATCATGTTGGGGGTCATGTCCCCATTGGTCCCAACACCCTGAACACACAGTGTTAAAAAAATTGATTAAATAAAAACAAACAAAAAAAAGTATTTGTGAATTTATTTATCTCCATTTTAATATAACAAATATTTGAGACTCAGAACGACTAAGGCAGGAGCTTTGTAATCTAACACAGTTCAAACTGTTCAGCAATAAATTATAAACAAACAAAAAAAAGGCTCAACGCCAAAATCTTCTTTGCACTGTGTTCTTTGTTAAAATGGTAAACAGTTAAAATTTCTCTTGCTTAAATCGGTTGTCCTCAGTTCTCATGTAAAAATCATCCATCTAAATAAAACTGAAAAGTGTGAAAATTCCTTTCCATGTTTAGCTACAGATTTCCCTAAACCTCTTTTCCCTAAACACAGGGACAGATATTAAGGAAGTCGACCACTGACCACTTCCTTCTGTGCAGTGCTCCTCATGCGGTCAAGCTGGCTCTCCATGCGTTGGCACTCTGCCTGGGCATCAGCTAAACTGGCACGGAGCTTGTCGGCTTCTAAGCGGGCGCGGTAAAGCTCGGTCATCGTGTGGTCGCGAGTACTGGCTGAGTCACGCAGCTCCGAGGCTAGCAGAGAGGCCTGCTGCCGGGATGCCTGGAGCTGCTCCTCAGCCTGACGGAGCTGCTCACGTACACGGGCCAGCTCTGCCTAAAGACAGAAAGAACTGATTTTACTAAAGCTATACCATCAAAATGCTAACCCTGCGATTAGTGGACATTTTTGTTTACATTTTGAGTACTACTTTAGTGTTGCCAGCAATAATATACACAAGCACTTTTACTTTGTCAGCTTTGTGTGCCAGCAGCTCTTTCTCCAGACTGTCTCTCTGTGCAACGCAGGCCCTGAGCCTCTCCAGCTCCTCTTGGAACTGAGCGATGGTCACCTCCCGGTTCAGCTCCACCGCCTTTAGCATCTGAAGCTCTGCGCTCAGCTTAGTGTTCTCCAGTTCTGTGCTGCGCAGGTGGGCCTACACATATGGCGAAACAGTTAAACAGAACTGGTCAAGTAAGAATGCAGACAAAAACACACCCTCGGCTGGTACAAAAAAAAAAAAAAAAGTCAGCCTTTCACGTAAAACACTTCTTCACCTTATAAAGATCTCGCTCATCCTTCTCATTCTTCAGCTGGCTCTCCAGACTGTCTCTCTCTGCTGTCAGCTTCTTTAAGCGATCACGCAGACTGAAAGACATATTGAAAAACAACTTCTTTAGTGCTTTCTTGTGTCTCATATTATAAATCTAAAGTTTTCTTACAAAAAGCTATTTAGTGATTAAGTGGACACCTTAAACATGGCTTTACTGATGGGTATAATCTGTGTGTGTATAAGGCCGGAAAATATCAAATGAGAGACTTAAGATGCCAGTGAAATATGTTAAAGCCAGGCTGACATATTCCTGTGCAGCATCTGGCACAATTTTGTATGCGTGTTTAAACCTGGGAAGTAAACACGCATGCAAAACTATTCTACACATATTCCACATCTGTGAGGCTGATGTTAAGCTTGCTTAGATTTATGTAAACACTCTGTCTTCAAATGGATGACTGATGGTTACATGTTGCCATTCTTCACTCACCAATCCAGCTCTGTCTCCTTTTGCAGGCCCCTCTGAGTGACTCCCAGCAGGTCCTCCTCTAGCTGGCGTACTCGGTCCGTAGCCTCTGTCAGCCTCCGCCTTACCTCCTCCCTCTCTTCTGACAGGCCCTGTGAAGAACGCAGCAGCTCCTGCGGGCCAGAGAGGTAGCTGTACATCAGCCTGACAGCCACTACAGTCAATCTCAGTAGCTGAAGAGCTCTATTATAGCCCTGCCAAACCCGTTCACTATATTTCAAATACTACTGTCTCTATATATTTCTTATCATTTGTACAGCATAAATAGAAATTTTTTTTTAAATCAAAAGTTATGGTCAGAAGCTTAAACACACACAAACACTCCTCTTGGCCACGAACATCATAATAATTATGGACTTTTTGTGATTTTCTTTAACTGTCCTTTTTTCAGGATCTTTAAGGACTTTAAAAACAAGAATTGAGTGTAAAAGTTTGAATTTATTTTGGATTTTCCCAAATCCTTCTCTCAAACATGTCAAAAGTATACATACAAGCTCATATATATACATACATTCACTTATATCTTTTGTGAAGTGGTACTGAAGGTTCTACATCATCTTGACAACAAATTGTAGCTTCAGTTCGCCATAAAAAGCATTTATTTGACAGCACATATTGGACTGATCCTTAGTTAGAACAATGGGAAAGTCCAAGGAACTCAGTGAAGAGAGGGAAGTCTAAATTTACACAAGTTGGGAGGGTCTTTGGGAGACATTTGCAAAGAACTACAGATTTCAAGATCATCAGCTCAAACAACTGTATGTAACTCCGCTGTGTCTTTACCAAGGTTTGGAACTATCACCCTCAGATGAAAGGAATTTTGTTAGGATGTTCAGGATCAACCCAGGAAACACAAATCACCACTGTCCACAGTGAAGCAAATTTTACATTGGCATAGACTTAGAGGGTGCTGACCAGGAAAGAATCCTCTGCTCCAAAACTGACACCTTCAAACTTGACTGAAATTTATAGCTGCCCACATGGACTAATGTCACATAATGCCTTCATCGTCTCATGTGACTTTTATGCTCACACAAAACAAAGATAGACAAGATAGATTACTGGAGGAATAAAGATGAGGCTTTCAAACCTAAGAATGCTGTACCAACTGTCAAGCATGGTAGTTGTAACATCATGCTCGGTGGCTGGTTTCCTGCCAGTCATACTGGTACACTACATGGAATGGATGGTATAATGAAAGAGGAGTACCTTCAAATTCTTCAACTTGGACACATGGGTGTTCCAATGGAACAATGATCTCAAACACACATCAAAACTGGTTTTGGATTGTATTAAGTTTATGGAATAGCCTTCCACAAGTCTTGATCACAATCCCACTGAAAACTCTTGGACTATGCTTAAATGCCAGATCCGTGCCAGGAAGCCAGCCGATTTAAATGAAACTTTTCCAGGAAGAGTGGTCAAATATTAATCTGAATTATGCCAGAAAAAAAAAAGTCTGATGGAGGTATTATTTGTTAAGGGACATTTAACCAAATATTAAAAGTTTTTTTAGTCTGTGCAACTTGTGTGTCCAATTCTTGTTTGTCATTAAAGATCTAAACTATGCAACCATGCCATCCTGTAAAAAGTTGAAAGAAATCATTAAAAGCCCCAAATTAACATTGCATTTGTGCCCACGATGACTGTATGTAAACTTCTGACCACAACTGTATTTAATTATTTATTACTGTTCTCGACCTCTACGGCATATTTCTAGTGCAGCTGTAACATGTGAATTCCCCTCTAGGGGTTCAATAAAGCCTTATCTCATCACTCATAAATAACTGGTTACAAGTTATGACTCATTAAGTCTTTTGTTGGACACAAAGCACAGAATAACTATGTAGATTCCAAAAAAAATGTTCAGTAGCATCCTGTAGTGGAAGTACAAAACAATTTACTGCTATCAAACAACACATTATATCAGTTTTGTTTTCTCCGTGTGGTGTGCCTGCAGAGGAAATACCTTGTTTGAACTTGCTGCGAATTAGCAGTGAACGACATTAAATCATGCATAGCTAATATTGGTTGTGACAGGACAACATACCTGTGCACACACCCTTCCTTTATTTTGTAGTATGAGCCCTTAACACACCCATTCTCTTTCACACACTAGGAAAGACAGACACACAGTTACACAGTCAAGGACATACAAGAGACAGACAGAGTGCACATGCACACTCCAACGCATACTCAGGCCCGTCTCCCTCTGGGCTTGGCTCTGCATAGATTACTGTATGATTTTTACGGCTGGCGTTTGGGAAGCACTTTAGCAGTGCGTAAAGACCTTATAAAAAGTATAGTCGTAAAATTAGCAGCCACAAAATATGTACTTATGTTTTCACGTTAAGAAACTCAAAGGATATTTTCATCAGCGAGCCACGAGCTAACGCACCTACTGTAAATGTTTTACAAATGACACACACACCCCTATTCACACAGGTCGTATATCTGCAGATGGACATGCCTGTTGAATGAAAAGCAGCATGGTAATAACAGAGCGTGTGTGTGTAATTTATGGCGATTTTGTCCTTCATAAAAAAAAAAAAAGAAAGAAAAAAAGGGGGGAAAAAAGGAGCAACAGACTAACTCAAAGCAGCCTGTGGATCTACACCAGGAAGCTGCACTAGGGGGCGATAAGAGACTGGCTTCAAGCTCAGAAAAACCTGGCAACTTTCTGGGTTTCACTTCTCTCTGCCAACTCCCCTCTCCTACTTTTATTGAGCTAGCTTGAGGTGACTGCTTTTGGGCATGTGTGCCAAGCTACTGCTTATCAAATGAGGATCTCATAAAATGCTAAAATGTGACTCATCCTGGTGAGTGAGTGAAGAAGGTGTGAGGGACATAGCGGACGAACTGGGTGTAGAAGTTTTTTTTAGTTTTTTTTTAAACTTTATTCATTTTGACAGATTTTTCTAAACGTATCATTTTAACTTGGATTAAAAATTTATTTCCTCGTCATGCCAATTAAGAAACTCTGAGGGAGAGAGAAAAAAAGCGAGAGGGAAGAAAATAAGACAGTGAGAAAGCAGTGGCCACTGCATCGCGTGACTGAGTGGTGTTTGTCCCTCAGGCTGGGCAGGGCTCTTTTTTCAGACAGGCGGTTTTGCGGACTACCCTCCTCTCATTCCACACACAGACTAAAAGGGTTTGCAAGCGGGTGGCATAATGAGTGCGTTTGTGTGTGTGTGTGTGTGCATGCTTGTGCATGTGTAAATGCACATTAGAGGGGCCCTGTTGTGTAGAACCTGAATGTGAATGTGACAGCCTAAGGGGACGGAGGGGACGGGGGTTTGTACAGGCGCATGCACGTGGGTGTGTGTGTGCGTTTGACGTCATGTTTGTTCACTCTGTGGTTGCGATGGCATCGTCCCTGACGCCAGATGCCCAAGAAAAACTGTGTCCCAATTCCGTTCTGGCCCACTGAGTCAGGTCGTTAAAGAGGGAGAAAAAGACACACACACACAAACACATGCACAAACAGACACACACTGAGCAGCTTTTTGTGTGTCTGTCAAACATGGAAACAGATTATACATGAATTTAGCCCTTTGAAGTTTTCAGACCTATGATCACTGGTGAGGAACTGGCTCCAAGCCTGTGTCCATCTACACACTCACCTGTACACACCCATACACTAAATACAACTACACACACACACACCGAAACTGTCTTAACTCTCTTCAGTCTCAAGGTTGCATATATACCGTTTATTTATTTTATCCATATACGGACATTTGAACTCTATTGAGTATTCCCAAATATTTTTGCTACTACGGGGCTTAGGGCGAGTGAAGACTTCAGATTTTTTAAATACCATTCTAAATAAAACTTCTGACTTTTAAACTGAAGACAGAATGAGCTCTGTTACTTAACGTTAGGAATATTAATTGCTTGGTTTGTGGGTTGGCTGAGGTTACCATCGGACATTAAAACAAGTTCATCATTGTTGGCGATGACAACAAGCAGATGAGAGATGTAGGCTACGGGGCTAATCCAACATTGCTGACGTAGGCCTGTCATGTCACAACTGGATAAAAACCTGTGGGCTATTTTAAGGGTGGGAACATTGCTCAGGGTTCCAAATTTAACCGCAATTTTAAAAAAAAAACGAAAAGAAAAAACGAGAAATACCAGTTATTTATTTTTAGACTCATTAATTAGGATGGACACTTATACAGGAGTTTTCTACTCCTAATTGAGAACTCAAAGTGCTTTTTTACTACGAGCCCCTTTTCACTCACACACACACATTCTGACTTTATTCTAGGCCTAAGCTCCTTGTCTGACATTCATGCACAATGAATGCATCAGCGGAACTACATTTCAAGGATTCTTGAAATGAAGACTGCAGGAGCTGGGGATTGCACCACCAACCTTCTGATTAGTGGACGGCCCACTCTACCTCCTGAGCCACAGCTGCCCCTACAGGTTTCCCTCCCCCTCCGTGGGAGCCTGTACTATTCAAAACTTAGCCCACTACCTCTAACCTGGTTATGTGTCCGCAGCAGGCAGCACGTCTCCCTCTCCTGCTCCCTTTCCCTGGCCAGTCGCTTCTGCTCCTCCTGCAGCTGTTGCTTCTCCTCTTGCAGGAGACGCATAGCTTTCAGCAGTTCCCTGCGCTCCTGCTGTGCTTCCTCCACACGCTAACAGGCAGAAGGAGAAGCAGAAAAAAAATCAGATCGACTCAATTTGAAGGGGATTGGTCACGGTTATCTTCTGGTCTTCTGCAATTTATTACATTTACCTCTCACTTTTCCCCCTATTTAGAGTGCTGATTCTATAGTCAGTTACACTGCAGATCGCTGTTTGATGACTCAAGACCAGAGGGGTTAAGAAAACTGGGGAAATAAATAAATAATAACATTTTGTGCATTCTACCTCTAGCAGGCCCGTTTTGGTGGTGACGACCAGTATGTCGGAGTTGCTGTCATCCTCAGTAACAGTCAGCAGCTCTTCGGTGGGCGTGGCTGACCTGAACTGGAAGGGTGTGCTGGCTCCTCTGATGTCACCAGCGTGAGTGACGTAACAGAACTGGTAAAACTCTCCATCAGATTTAGGAACATAATAAGCTGCACAGCAAAGAAAAAAGAACGTAATGTTGGCACGTAAGGGGGGCACGTTGTGCCCTTCCTTATAATCGTTCACATATACACATATATCTCCTGAAATAAAAGCTTAAGTGTCAGGTGCAGCACGAAGAACTTAAACTGTGAATCATCCAAAGCTCCTTCTTTATAGACCAAGAATAAAAACACGCAGCTGGAAATTAACATAATGGGTTCTTTTATAGACCAAACCTGCTCAAAACTGTTCTAGACTGCCTATATTTACAATATCACCCCAAATATCCATCCAACTGTTCTGCTTCAAAGCAGAGAAAGAAAAAATCACCAGCATTGAGAAGACTTATGCAGAGGATTTAGCTAGAAAATACATTACATATGCTGGGTTCGAGCATTCCAAGGTTACACTGGAAACTGAAGCACATTATTCAAGTGTGAGCCCTGGTCCTCTAGGGCAGTAGAGGAATATCCAGAAGCCAACTGGTTTTACTGACTCCTGACACACCGCAGCGTGCTCTCATATTTTCACTGTGTAATGTCTGACCGTTCCAGGCCCAGTAAAACCAGTTTGCAGGCCCTCAACTGTCTGTGTCTGTGTGTGTCTGTGTGTGGTTTGAGAGGTGCTCAGGTCCCAGGCCTCAGTTTGCGGTCGTGTTCCCTTATTAAATAAAAGTGCTGGTTTTTATATGCACTGTAAAATGGAGGAGTAACTTTGGAATACCCTGGGTTTGTATAGTGGTTTAAATAGTATGTAAGTGTGCGTGCGTGTGTGTGCTGTACCTTGAAACACCACAGCCCTGTGCGCAGTACTTCCTGGTTCATAGTTTTCAGGCATAGGAGACCAAACGAAGGTGTAGTAATCTCTGGCTGTGCTCCAACCCACCTGAGGAGACATTAAAAACAAAAATAAACAAACGATCCCACAGTGTAAAAGTTGTGTGCTGCAGTTCAAATCACGCTGAAGAAGGCCAAATTTTCCAGCAAACATGTGTTAATCGTTAGATCTGATTTGAAAAGATGCTTGATGAAGCATTCTGGAGGACTACATCCAATGTTCAAAGCAAGAATGGAAACATTTAAAACCCCTCATTTCTCCACACACCTCCTCCCCTTTTCACTCCTACCCTCAGTTCCTGCCCCTTTTGGACCCACAAAAAAGAGGACCAGCAAAGGTGTGAGAAAAGGGTGGAAGGGCAAGGGGGGCTCGTCTGCATACAATCGTGGGCTCGTGGGGGCTGCAGAGACTAGCCAACAAAGAAATGGGGGGGGAGGGGGGAGGCGAGGGAAGCGGGAGAGTGGATACAAATAAGGTGAAAATTTTACAGAAAATGAGAAGGGAAATGTAATTCCCTGGATTTCACGTGTTGTTAGAAGACAGGTGATGAAAGGTCGTCGTGCCCGTCCCAATTCAGCTCCGTGCATTGTAAATCTGTCACATACAGCCGCGCACGCGCCCCGTCTTGGACGCACGCGCACACGCATACCTCCCTGCAACTCCTACTCATAAGTACGCGATGCATTATTGTGACATTACATAACTACGTTTCAGCTGCAGTAAACTCAACCATCTGTGGAAGTGCAGGACGTTTTGTTTTCTTAAAAGAAAAGAAAAAAAAAGAAAAAAAAAAAGAAGAGTTAACCAAAGAATATCACACTTAGATGATCAACAGGCAACGCTTGCTGATTTTCTCTTTAATGAGCTGAGTTTTTAAAAAACTGTTTCTGTAGGAAAATATTAAAATAAATGACTTTTAACTGATTAAATCATTAAATGACTTTCAAGTACAAAAAAACAGTCAACAAAAACAAAACACGGAAGCTTCAGGTGACGACAGTAAATCACCCGAGCTACTCAAAACGTTTGTCAGGCTTTCAGATTTGATAATGTTGTTGCACCGAAACGTAATTGCAGTGTGTGCCGCATCAACCCCATTACGCTGCGTATAATGCTGCTCCAAACAAATGGTAATTGTCAACGTGAAATCTTGCTGCCAAGAACATTCCTTCCACCGCCAACAGCATCTGAGTGAGAAGCGGGGCTGCGATGGGACTCCAGCCAGGTTTGTTCGTGTGGTCATGTGTATTTGCTTAAGAGAGAACAGACATAAATAATTTTGCTAATTGCAGAGTGAAGTTGACTGACACTTGGTTAGGTATGGTGTGGCATTCCAACAGATGAGTGCTGTTATAAAATAATCACAGGCAAAGCAGCTATCAATCATTCATCCAAGGTGTGAGGGAACAGCACGATGACACTTTAATTATACACTCACACAACGGGTTTCTCCCTGCCGACCCAACGAACATGCCACAACCAAAAACCTCCACGGGGCTTTTCAGGGAGATGAATGTGTGTGTGCATTAGCGTGTGTGTGTGCACGTGAGTCAGGCTGTCAGTAGCCAAATAAAACAAATATGTTGAAATGTTTTTCAGTGACGCAAAGAGACGAAAGAAAGAAAGCTAAGCAAGCTTGATTGTAATGGGAACTGTTGATCTTCACTGTGTATGTGAGTACTGTTTCAATGCAACACCATCTAGGAGCACATTTGTTATGGCAGGATCCTTATTGTGGGCTATGAATATTTTCGACCACTAGGGGGTGTCTGTACACAACTCAACTGAGCACTGCCTCTCTGAGCCACCTGAGTCATCCTCTTAGCAAGTCAGCTTTGTTACTCGGTCTCTCTGCTTCATTACTCAGTCTCTCTAGCGTTCAGGTAACGCCTGTGGATGTCGGAGGTAAGAGGAAGAAAATATTCTCTTTCTGAGTCATCTCTGTGGAACAGTTTTGCCTCCAGGACTCAAACACAGAGTATTCAACAGTGAGTTCAAGACGTTTGAGGAAAAAGTCAAATGTAAACAGTCATTTTTTTTTAAATAAGCAAGCTTACAGTTTCCAAATACCCAGTGAAAACCATGCAGGGGAAGTCTGATACTTCATACCTCTGCCAGAGGCTCTGAAGTCTCTCTCTGTGCCATGTACAAGCTGAGTTTCTAGATCAAAAAGAATATCTAGGACATCAAGGCGTCTTCCTATTTGATATGTATGTAGAGCTGATATTAAATGTACAATTCTGCTCACAATGGTACAAAATCCTTCAAACTAATTTCTGGAGCCAGATCTTGACTGACTCCAAAAGTTAATCAACTCTAATTTAGTCTAAGTCCCTTGGAAGTAATCCTTCCAATAGAAACAAAGAAACTAAACCCGCCCAACTGAGGAAAAAGGAGGTAAAAATCATTCAAGTGATTTCCAGTGGTCATTACCATTTGTAAAACCCCTTTAAATACTAAACTTGATTACCTGACAAAATAATTATTAGCTGAAAGGGTTAAGTATTCTTGTAACAGACGGTATACACTGATACTGCAGAGATTTTGCTGCTGTAAAATAACATCTCTGTGAACACACACAAAAGACAGACGTATACGTCAAAAGGATTAAAGAAGCGTGGTCTGCTTGCTCCCTGCCATGAAGCTCTAACCATCAAACAGGTTTCATTAGCACGGATTACAATAATTACATTTTCCAATCGACTTTTTTTCCAAATAAACGCGGCGTCTTTATTCCTTTTTAATTGAGCTGGTGGATTTGAAGTCAGTTCTTAAACAACGATAAAATGTTTGTCTTTTGACTTTACGAGACATTCAGCTTCCTCGTTCGCATTTCCTGTTAATTACGTGTGAGATTTGATGGCCCCGATAAAAGGACGGAGCACGGGGGGATGCTGCTTAGCAGGAAGCAGCGAAAAGGATGGAAAGAGATGGTGAGCCAACATGCCAAAAGTGTGTGTGTGTTCTTAATAGGAATCAGAATGGTTCATAAAGAGTACCAAATGATTGCCTCGTCCCCCCCTCCAGTGAGACCTACTGTAACCAGCCCACCATGCACACTCTTCCTCCTTCTGCATGTAGAGCAACCACACCAAAGCTTGCGGTGAGGTTTTAGGCATGTAGAGAAGAGCTCAGCCATTAGCGTCAAGGCGGATGTATGTGTTAATGTGCCAAGTACAAACCTATGGCCAATTAATAAAACGCTAACACATAATCCATGTCAAAAAACACTCGTATAATGGGCGGGAAATTGTTTTATTCACTAAGTATGTCTCGGTAACACAAATGATTCCTATTATATAAACGTCTGGTCTTTAACCGATTATGCCTGCTTTTGTCTTTGAAGCGTGGTCTGAGTAATAGCAGCTGTAGTGTGTGTGTGTGTGTGTGTGTGTGTGTGTATGTACCTTGAAAATGCCCACCCAGTCTTTGGGGTGGGGAGTAATGTAAGGGGTCAGGGTGTAACGACACTCCAAGGGTGCCTGGGGTAGGAAACTCTTCCCCACATTCTGAAAAATAACGTGGGCAAAGTTGGACGTTTCCATCACGCTGACGCTGCTGCCCGGCGATGAATCCACCACCTGGAACGATGACATTGTTTCCTGTTGGTCACTTCATTTGTCTAGAAAAGGGAAAACAGCATAGACACAAATAAGTATGGAGTGAAAAAGCAAATATTTAACACAAAAGCTGTTCCAAAATGATGCAATCTATTATAATCAAATGATTCCAAGTGTCTCAATTCCTTTATGCTCTGCTGGCATGTTTTTCCTTGACACTTGTACATTGCAAAGCAATGACGTGCCATAAAACTTCATGTCAGTTAGCTTTTGCACTCCTGAGTCACACGCAATCCTTTTGTTGACACTGTGTTCAGACTTTGAGATGATAAAGCAGTTGCACTTACACTAAAGATCTTCGGAGGCCTGACTTTCTCTCCCACTCATAAAAGTGATGACACCATGTTTACCCTTTCTGCACCTGAAACAGGTAAAAGTGTACACAAGTGTATCTCCCACAGAGCGAAGAAGCAAGCAGTCGTGCTGAATGTTTAAATATGCATATCAAACTGGAAAATTCGGTTCTTCAACTAGACTATAGGCTCACTGCTTCTCAGGAACCAAGTGTGCTACACCTCTATAAGAGGAAGTTTATTAACATTTGTTTTTCTATGAAGAGAAATATGTCTCAAAAAGGTTGCAAAGGCGTACAACATGATATACAAGCATAAACTGAGCTTTACAAATGTGTGAAATGATTTGTGTGTCACTTTTGAGGACTCAACGCACAAATACAAAGGAGTTTGAGCACAAGTAAAATTATTTCACAAATATGTACATCTAAACTGATACTGATCACTTATGCACAATATATTAAGTTTAGCTCAAAGATCCCAAGTTTTTGACTTCTAAAAACCTTTCTATGCGTACAAATGTGTAAAACCACACGTAACAGCTCTGTCGCTCCCTTACAAAACTTTAAATGCATGTGAACGAATCGCCTAATACGCACAGACCATGTCGCATGCACACATTTAAGACAAATTGAATGCTGCCAGCTGGTTTCAAGTGCCAGTGCAAAACTGGGACATCTGGGCAGCGTTTTTTATTTTTTCCAAACAAAGTGAACATTTCTTTTTCTAAAAAAAACTTAGAAAATGTGATTAACCAATTACAGACATTACACGATAGCCTATAAAATATAATATATGGTTTCAATAATCTGCTTTTACATGTTGAACATTCTTCCGCTGGGAAAAATCAACCAGTGCTTACAAACAAATCATTGCACACATTTGTAAATCTTAGTTTACGCTAGTGAATCATATCCCACGCATTTGCAACCCCTTTTGAGATGTATTTCTCTCCATATTTTTCCTTGCTTTAAACATATTAGACCACTTGATTAATTACCAGTTATTATTGGGTTGAACCCTCTTTTACTGGAAACAGTCCTCTTAGGTTTCGGTCAATATTGACATGATAGCATCATACAGTTGCTGAAGAGTTGTTGGCTGCACTGGGTGGGAATCTCCTGTTTCACCACATCCCAAAGGTGCTCTATTGGATTGGAATATGGTCACTGTGGAAGCCATTTGAGTACAGTAAACTCACTGTCATATTCAAGAAACCAGTTCGAGATAAACAAGCTTTGTGACATGGAACAGTATCCTGCTGGAAGCAGCCATCAGAAGATGGGTACACTGTGGTTATGAAAAGATGGACACGGTCCTCAAAAATGGAATAATATAGTAATAACAGGCTTTTTGTTTAAAAGATGCTCAGTTGGCCAAAAGTGTGCCAAGAATATATCCATCACACTGTAGCAACTCCATCAGCCCGAACAACTGACAGAAGGCAAGACGGATCCATGCTTTTATGTTGTTTGAGCCAGATTCTGACCCTTCCATCCAAAAGTTGCGGCAGAAAATGAGAGTCATGATGTCTCTTTTTTTCAATCTTCTATTGTCCAATTGTGGTGACCCTGTGTGAACTGTCGCCTCAATTGCCTGTTCTTAGCTGACAGCAGTGGTAGCTGATGTGGTCCTCTGCTGGTGTAGCAAACCTATAACTAATAAATAATTTTGCTTTTTTTCATAACTTGGTTGTAAAAAGTTGTTATTTGAGTTAGCGTTGCCATCCTATCAACTTGAATCAGTCTGGCTATTGTCCTCTGACCTCTGGAATCAGCAAAGCATTTTTGCCTAGAGAACTACGGCTCACTGGATATTTTATCTTTTTCTAAAAAATCTCTATAAACCCTAGAGATGGATGTGGAGGTAATTACCATTAGCTCAACCATATCTGTAACACTCAGACCAGCCTATCTGGCAACCACAATCACAAAAAGTCACTTAAATCACCTTTCTTCTGCTTTCTGATGCTTGGTGTGAACTTCAGCATGTCACCTTGTCCATGTCTACATAGCTAATGTGTTGCCGCCACGTGGTTGACAGATTAGGTAATTATGTAAACAAGCAATTGAACAGGTATACCTAATAAAGTTGCCATGAGTATATATGTCATTATCGATTAAGCAGACAAAAACAGGCCTTCCTCAGGCTGTGAAAACAAACAAAAAAAACAAACATCTGAGAAATTGCTACAATATTAGTAATGAAAAAGTTTGGTACATCCTGAGAAAGAAAGAAAGCACTTGTGAACTCAGCAAATCAAAAAGGCCTGGACGTACATGGAATCTAACATTGTTGCATGCTTGCAGAATTACTTCTATGGTGAAGAGAAACCCTTTCACAACTGCCAACCAAGTGAACAATACTCTCCAGGAGATAGGAGTATTGATATCTAAGTCTACCATAAAGGAGACTGCATGAAAGTAAATACACTGGGTCCACTGCAAGGTATAAGGCACTCATAAGCCTCAAGAATAGAAAGACTAGATTGGACTTTGCTAAAAAAAACAAAAAAACAACAACAACAACAACAATAACAAAACATCTAAAAAAGACAGCACTGTTCTGGAAAAACATTCTTTGGACAAATGAAACCAAGATCAACCTCTACCAGAATAATGGCAAGAATAAAGGATTGAGAGGGTGTCAAAAAGCTCATACCACATCATCTGTAAAACACAACAGCGGCAGTGTGATGGCTTGGGCATCCATGGCTGTCAGTGGCACTGGGACACTAGTGTTCATTGACGATGTGACACAAGACACAAGCATATGAATGAATTCTGATGTTCAGAGATACTGTCTGCTTGTTGATTGGGCGCCGTTTCATAATACAGATGGACAATGAGCCAAAACATACAGCCGAAGCAACCTAGGAGTTTACTAAAGCAAAGAAGTGGAATATTCTTGAATGGCCAAGTCAGTCACCAGAGCTTAACCCAATCAGGGATGCATTTCACTTGTTAAAGACTAAACTTTGAACAGATAGGCCCACAAATAAACAGGAATTGAAAACCTCTGCAGTAAAAGCCTGGCAGAGCATTAAAAAGGAGGAAACCCAGTATCCAGTGATGCCCATGAGTTCAAGACTTCAGGCTGTCATTGCCAGCAAAGGTTTTCAACCAAGTATTAGAAATGAACCTTTTATTTTCTTAATTTAATTACCAATTACTTTTGAGCACCTAAAATGAAGGACTTGTGTTAAAAAACACTTTAGTTCCTCACATTTCTATGCTCTTTTTGTTCAACCCACTGAAATCTGCACTTCAACTACATATGAGTTGTTTCATTCACTGTGGTGATGTACACAACCATAATTTGAAAAATGGTGTCTCTGCTATGGGCATCTCTTTAAAGACATTTTTATGCAGTACTACACTGCTGAAAAACTAGGGTGTTAAATAGGAAAAAGCAGAGGTATCAGTGACATTATAATTATAATCTCTTGACATTGTTCACGAATGTATAAACCCCCATATATGAAGAAACCGCCCCACCACTGTGATGAAACAGCTGACTTTAAACTGCACAGTCAGGGCTATTGTTCGTGGTCAAGAAGAATGATGCCGCTGCTTAGCATCACGGTCACCAAGTCATCTCCGTAACTGCGAAGCAAGCTACAACGACAAACCCTAAATCCCTGCATTTTCTATACACCCAACCCTGGACTGATAAACATAACGTGCAAGTCTAAGTCATAAACTGATGCTCGGTTAAGCTAAACAGCTAACGTACAACGTCTGACCACTGATCCGCTTCGACCAAAACACGACGAAGGCAGCACACAACGGCTAAAGTAGAGCACAGCCCTGTAAAACGAGCTCAGTTAGCCTGGAGTTAATCTTATTTGTTATGGCTAAGGAGCTAATATTAGCTTGTGAACAGGCCATGTCCTGTCAAGTCACCAGCTAGCTAAACATTATACTAGTCGGACAGCTAGCTGTCTGGCTGAGAAAAGAGAGCAAAGATTTTCACGAGCGTTATTTTAGTCTGAATTTAAAAAGGGTACCCTTTTCATTGGATTTCCACTTGCAAAACAGAGTGAATGTCTGCCGGCCTGGCCGATGTTTTTGCCAGTGTCCCCGTTGTTGTCAAAGCTCTGGCGATGATGCGTCTCTCTCTTCCTGAAAGAGAAAATGATGCTGGACTTCCGGGATGCTGAGAAGTACCAGTGATGCTGCTAGGAATAGAGGAGACGACAAGAGGTCAACGCAACAACTTTATTATTTACTCGGGTGACTTAAATCACTTTAATTATTATCCTCGTTTATTTCACTTATAAAAAAAATCTGACTTAATACGATAACTGTTTAGGGTCATTTGCCAACTCTAACAACATGCCATTAATTTAAAAAAACAGAAAACAGACTGCGCATTTAACCTCGGTTTTTAACGTAATGAATTTACGTTTTTTATTTTCATTTAAAACCATGGCAGTGAATGGTTGTACAGACTGAAAGAGCATTTATAAGTAAAAGCACAGGATATCCCGCTTTTGCCTCGTTTTCATTGGCTTGGCAAACTTATCCCCCGTTACGATTGGTGGAAAATGCTGTCGATCATAACCCTTCGGCGTAGCTTTCCTGGCTCTGACAGCTGTCACCGTACGAGGTCAAGGGGAAAGAAGTATGGCTTCGCTGTTCAGAGGGTCTCGATATATATGGTTAAGATGGAGTAAGCATGTCAACGTTGCCTTCGGTAATGTATTCGCTTATGTTGACGGGTTTTTTTCCCCGCATCGTTTCATTCATTTACGAATGTGTGGTCACAGGTAAATTCAAGCGGAATAGTCCTGTTGTACTTGTTAGCTAGCTCGTTAGCCCTCTGAAGAAAGTATGAATACTTAGGTGTTTGCAGTGTGGACGATGTCACCAAGTTGAATATCACTATGCGCAACAAAGACGAGCACACTGAAATAGCAATGGCACGAAAAGCTCATTTTGGACCTCAGTAGGAATATGCGATATGTTGGTTTTAGGTAGTTCATATGAATATTTAATTGCCACTCACAAATCTGCGCTACATAAAAACACTAGCTTCCATTGCATCACTGTTGCAAACACATACTCTGTTCATGGCTCCTGCAGTGCAAACAAGACACGCTAGGTTGTTTCTTATGAATTATCTACAGTGACTATTGATTTAAACGATTTCAGTGTAGTTTAGAAGATAACCCATCAAACACTTTAAATGGGCTGTAACCCTATTAAATTTCTATAAATCAATTATTCAGATAGATTGATGTACTGTCATGACCCAATTAATTTAATAATTGGTGCACAATTAATAAAATAAATAAAACACAACAACAACAAATCATTCAATAATTTTGTGCAAAAGATTTCTTCACTCCACTTTCTATTATCTGGTTTATATGTTTCTGAAGTAAATGCCGTTTTAAAAATGTTTCAGAAGCAAACATGTGCTGTACTGTGTTACACCAGCTGAGTGTGCTACCTTAGAAAGCCATGTATAGCAAGCAATACCTGAGAAAGTAACATCCTGTTATAAGTATTAATCTTTTATTAAAAGTTGCTGTTTGCAGTTCAGTGTAATGCACTGTGCTATTATACTAATAAAACGATGCAATATTGGAATAAAATTCAGTGTGTAAAAAATAAAATAAAAAATAAGGTGCTGTCATCTTATACTGCAGAATAAGATGACACTTTTTTCTGTTGTGTAGTACCTTTTGGTTCTATAAAATATATGGTGATTTTGACATGAGGGATTTTAATATGGGATTTTGGTGCAGTGGTAAATGCATGTTTTTTCAATATGGACCATAAAGCAGCTGCTTCTTCTTCTTCTTCTTCTTCTTCTTCTGTAGAGCTCTGATTTGTCAGAATGGATATGCCTCTGCATTAGATGTCAGTGTGTCATTAGCACAAAGCTTATTCATTGTTACGTATCCAGTACTTGAAGTTTTGAAGTTTGGTCATTTTAGTCCAGCACTGGAGAATACCCTGTCGTCATTTAAGTATTACAGAGAGATGGGAGAAGTTGGTCTCCTGAGTATGGTGAAGACTTGGCTGAATTTAAGCTTTAGGCCTTTCGTTTGTGCTTTTTCTTCCCTTCCTAATCCTGTTGTTGCAGTCTGGTTGGTCCACTGCCAGAGTTTCCATTGTGTTTTAACCTGTCTGGATCTTGGCTAAGCTAGAAGTGGTTAATAGCCTGACTGGACTGACTGAGATCAGAGATATTTTTAACCACTTTTAATTAGTTAATTTATTTCTGGATAATGTTAGAATTTTACACCAGGTATTAGTCATAGGGAAATGTCTACAGCACTACCTGGAGTAGAAAGCAGTATTGTCTTCATTCAGATTTCGTGATTTTGCTCCTGATTTCAACTAAATCTTGTTTTTACAACAGTATCAACACGATCAATGGCCTCAAAGACACCAGTGGGATTTATTGGTCTGGGAAACATGGGCAGTCCCATGGCTAAAAACCTGTTAAAAAATGGGTATCCTGTCATTGCTACCGATGTCTTTCCTCAGTCTTGCAAGGAGCTGCAGGACACTGGTGCCCAGGTAATAAACTCTCAGTAACACATTGCATTTACACATGTAAACACTTATTTGTGCAATAATTTACAGCTTCTCTGCGCGACAGTTGACAGGCTGTCACAAAATCAAGTGGGGTATTTTGTGGTGATGGTTTTCAGGTAGTGGACTCCCCAGCAGACGTTGCAGAGAAAGCAGACCGCATCATCACTATGCTCCCCTCTAGTCCCAATGTCATAGAAGTATACACAGGCCCAAATGGCATCCTCAAGTAAGACATGTTATTGTTGGTGTCTCTGTGATTTCTGTGACATTCATGTATCTTCTCTTTGTATTTTTAAAATCTATAAAGGGTAAGTGGAGATTTCATCGTGTTTAAAAAATAGATAGGACTTAGTTTGATTACCATAATCCATGTGTTCATTTATTCTCTCTTACCTGGTGCAGGAAGGTAAAGAAGGGGACCTTGTTAATTGACTCCTCCACGATTGATCCTGCTGTATCTAGAGAAATGGCAGTTGCTGCAGAGAAGAAGGGTGCTGTGTTCATGGATGCCCCAGTGTCAGGAGGTATTGTGTCAAACAAATTATTAGTAAGCAAGCACACCTCAATTGGTGTCTTTGATTCTGTAAAGTCTTTCCCTTGATTTATGTGTTTTTGATTTGCTCATTCTTGACTTGAACTACATAAAGAAAAAAGAGAGACGTTAGTTGGCATTGTGAAAAGTAGAATTAGACAGCTGGTTTATTTATTCAACTGTGCCAACCACGGTATTAGGCCTGTGACCCTTCAACCTCAGTTCTGAACTGTCTCACACTCTTTTGTATATCTAAACTATTGGACCTTTTGGGTTAATGCTCAGACACGGATTGTAATTACTGAGCGGGCCAGCCAGTAGGTGCCCTCTTAAGGCTTTTATTGCAGCTTTTGACCAGGGGTCTTAAAGGCAAGGTTAAGGTTTTAAGTCCTCATTATGTTGGCGCTGTCTACTTGTGACAGCTTCTTGACAGAGCACAGGATCGCCAGTCGTCCTTAATGGGCTGAGCTGCAGTGGAGAATCCCATGTCAGAGCTTTTCATGTTGATGGAGCCGTAATGGCGGGTATCCCATGTTAGTGCCTTTCATGTCAGATAAAGAGTCGTAAAGAAGAGAGAAACTGCCCTCACATGGAGGACAGGAGAAGAGGGGGAGAGGAAGATAAGACATGAAGGAGATACATCGCAGTAAAACTGTCCATCTTTCGCAGTCTTTCTGTCTTTGTCTCTTTCTCTCTTTCACATACACAACCACAAAGTTCTTCTGATTCAGGTATGCAGTTAAGGATTTCAACATGCGGACACCCCTGCATGTCAGAGTACGAACTCTGATCACGGTCTGTTTCCTTTTTATTGCACAATCTTTAATTCGTAACCCTGAAACTCCCGCGGTCTCCCATACAAACATAGACTTATCCCATTTTCGGCATGTTTACCAGCTGGCGTCTGCAGCACAGAGCGGCTGCAGTGAGTGAGATCAGAGTCTTAAGCTTGTTACTCTGCCTTAGCACATGTACTGTTTAAACACTATAGACAGTGTTTGTGTGCAGTCCCCTGGCAGCGTTCTTCCTCTCCTGTTCCTTACTAGGCCTCTTTAACTGGCTTGAGGTGACCAATGATTTACTTGCTACCTAGCAGGTCTCTGCAGCTAGACATTCTTTCCTTATATGCACCTGCCCATCCAGTGTCACATTAGACATTCATAAGTCATATCCAGAAATCCAGGTACTGACTTTAGAGCACAGTGCCAGCACATTCTAAGTAGAAAATTGATGAAAAATTAAGTGAACATTTTTTGATAATAAATTATAATTTTGATCCATTGATTTATGCATTTGGTGAGCATAGTCCCCACCAAGGCAAATGCCTTATTCTGCTATTTTAAAAAAGCTATCCAGATCCACATAAAAATGAAAGTGTCCTTCCTTTACTCATACTTAACCTTTCCACAAAGTTTAATAAAACTCAGCCATGTAGTTTTTGAATAAGTGCATTCAATCTCTACAATCTAAGAATTGTTATTTTCCTGCTGTTGTAAATGAGATATATTTGGTCGGAGACATCTATCTCATCTCGGTGGTGTTGCCAAGCCAAACTTGTAAAGACAGGTTGTGAAAGAATGTCCCAGTGACAACTTGGTAACCAATTTCAGAGAGCTTAACAACCCCCCTCACCCCACCCTCCCAACCCCACACCCCTGCTTTGCACACCTCTGGGCAGTTACATGCTCTGTTCCAACCAGGAGATGGCACCCTACCCAAACAGGGCACTGTCATACTTTTTGAGTTAGGTGTGTGTGTGTGTGTGTGTGTGTGTGTGTGTGTGTGTGTGTGTGTGTGTGTGTGTGTGTGTGTGTGTGTGTGTGTGTGTGAGAGACAGGGGAAAAATGTGGACGGAAGCACCTTAGTTCTGAGAATAATTATTTAATATTGGTTATATTGATAGAGTATGCTTAGTAAAAGAAAGATAGTTTGAAATAAAAGTTAAGTGAAAATATGGCATCTGACTTAAAAATCATTCATGTCTTGTGTCAACCCAATAAATGGTATCATTATATTTAATTTAAAGTACTTCTCACAGTTTTCTGTCATTGAGTATCATTTATATCACGCTATCATTTGAACATGTTTGATCTCACTGACTC